CCTGGCAGATCAACATTTTCAATCCTTCGAAGAATTGGAAAAATGGATTGCTTCATGGATAGCGTCAAAAGAGGACTCCTTTTTTCGAGCCGGGATCCGAAAATTGCCGGAAAGATGGGAGAAAGTTGTCACTAGCGTTGTACACCTGATAATTTTTTTTTTAATTTATCGTAGAAATATGCGAAAAGGCACAGAAATTCTATTTAACCATTTCATGGAACATATATTGAAGTATAAAAAAATATTCTTTAATTATTATTTTGTTACAGAATGGCGGTGATAAAGTCCATTATTTTATTCATGTTTTTATGAACGGCGTCCACGGGAGGACCGATTTCTTCTAAAGGGCGAAAAAAGCAAAAAGTTTCATGATCTACAAACTGCGGCATTTGGTAGTACCTACGTTATTATTATTTTTTTCCTCATTTTTTTGAAAGTTTTGAATTGATGAAATTTAGTTTTTGATTAAAAAATATGCGCTAAATTACTAAAAAAAAATTTTACATTTCATCGAAAACCGGCTACGTACTTCAAAAAAAGAAAAAAAATTATTGTATATATATGTAGCCATTGAAATTTCAGATGAACTCTATTTCATATCCGAATATGATTTTGAGAAAAACGCGCTTAAAGTTTTCATTGTACACAGCGCACGCTCCGAAGGGCGGCAGTAAAATAAAAAAGTTCAGCTATTTGAAATATTTGTTTCACTTTAAAACTAATTGCATATTATTTCTAGCACGCAAAGATACTCTGTGAGCAAAAAAAAAAAAATTTTACGTTTTCCAAAATCCTTAAAAATCCTTAAGTCGCCCAGGATATGTTAGCTATAAGCCAAAAAGAAGCTCTTACTCTATTTTTATTTACTTCTAGTAAATTAACGCGAATTTCTGAAAAATGCGTTTTTTAACTATAGTTCAAAATTTTAGTTTTTTTCATTTAAAAAATTTAGAAAATAAAAAAAAATAAAAGTTGACTTATGCTCTTATTCCTTTTGACAGAAACTTCGTTACAATCGTTTTCCTTATGGTATAACGTTTAATTCTAATATTTATGATTTTATTTATAAATAATTATTTTTATTATAATTTATACGGATTTTAATAAATAAATTAATTAAATCAAATGAAATAAAAGGGCATTTTTTTGCACGCATGGTTTTCGATGAAGCAATACTTTTTTCGGAGTTAGTATTTTTGACTGCTGTTAATAGATTTAAACTCAGTTTGGCTTACCACTGCACAATCAGCAGACTTACTCCGGAAAAAAATTCGTAAATCGTGCAAGTTAATCACTAAAATAATTGGTCTCAATAATCACTCGGCAGAGTCGGTAATTCGAACAACCATGAATCGGTTTCGCACCACGTTTACTCTAGTGGATAATACACATCGTCAGAGATGCCGTAGAGTGTGCACCGAAGTTGCTGTAGTTGCTGTGGAGTGTACCGAAGTACACCCGAATAACTCCATCTGCCTGCGCGTGCTACAATTTGAGCCGTACTCATCCACTTTATAGAAGATTTTGCGAATGGATATTCGTTTTCGGGCTTACAAAATGCAACTCGTGAAAAAATTAAAACCGAACCACCATCAAGCACGTCGCGAGTGCTTCGGTGAATAGTAGCAAAACGATGAACTTCACTTCTGTTTGAATGGGTACGTGAATAAACCAAATTGTAGCCTGTGGAGTGATAATAATCCACAAGCCCTCCAACTCTTTCAGTGCTTACGTGTGCTCTATGGGCAGAGGGAGTGCTCGGTTCACAATTCTTTAAAAATAAAGCCGAAGTTAAAGTCAATGGGGAACGTATTAAAACCATGATTAATGACATTTACTTGTCTGATTTGGAGAAAGTTCATATGATCCACATTTGGTTCCAACAAGATGACGCTACATATCATACAGTTAAAGAAACAGTGAATTTTTTTAAGGTGAGCATATTATCTCGCCTCGTAGGCCTGTAGAGTGGCTTTCAAGACAGTGCCATTTAACATCGCCGAACTATTTTTTGTGGAGTTATGGGAAGTCACTTGTCTGTGTAGAAGGGAATCTTCGGCGCATTATTTCTTGCGTACATGGCGTCAATTTCTGCAAAAAGCAGTCGAAAATTAGTCCTCTCGACTGGATATTATTCGAACCAGACGCGCCGGCCACTCGTACGAAATCAATCACTAAACGTGACGCCTAAGGCATTCTTTTTGAATCCAATCTCGCATCCTTAGATACCGTAAATACGAGCTTGCAATGGTAATTCCCTTAACTCATGGTGGACCAGTCTAAACTCTAGTTAGGCAACTGAAACTGTCAAAAATATCGATAAAACAACGGAAATCGCCGATTCTGATCGCCGTGCAATCACAGTTTCGTTTGCCCAGGACCTAAAAATATAGCGAAGAAAACAGCTTGGAACCACTCGTAAAAAGCTGGGTACGCTAATAAGTTCAATCTATGGTTGCCACATGAGTTAACAAGAGAATAATTTCCACCTTTGAATCGTTGGTGATTCGTAAAAAAATCGGAAGCGAATGGTGACTGGCGATGAAAAGTGGATCTCTTACAGCAACGTCAAATTAAAACGGTCGTGTTGGAAAGCCAGTGTGCCCTCACAAACGGTCTCTAAGCGAGGATTCACGGTCAGAAAGGTTTTGTGTGGATGTGTGTTTGGTGAGATTGGCAAGGAATTGACCAATATGAAATGCTTCTCTACAACCAAACTCTTAATTCGACCTGAAGGCCATAGCTTTGTCCAACAAAAGGGGAATTGTGATTTGTCAGGTTGACGCATAACCTCACACATTGCTAGTGACTTGCCAAAAACTCCCAGAGCTGGGTTGTTAGGTTTTTATGCATCCACTTTATAGTCCGATGACTTTGACAAATATTTTGGCTAGTGAAGAATTGACCTCAAGAAAATCAACTGTCTCAATTCTTTTCTAATAGGAATGACATTTAAAATGGCAAAAAATAATCGAATTAAACAGTATGTATTTAATATAAATCGGTTAATTCTACTTATGGTCAACGAAGCCTTGAATTTAATCAAATATAATGGACGACTTTTTACTTCATCGAATTACTCTAACGGTAGGTGAGATATTACCTAAACTAATCGCTCTGAAAAACTTTATGTAAATATTATAATATTTATAATGAAACCCGATTTATTTTTCTGATCTGTTCATCGAGCATGGTTATGTATGGGATTTATTGTTGCTGATTCAAAAAGTAATTTAAAAAAAAAACATAGCATTTTTTAAAATCGAAATGATCTGCGTAGTTCACATAATATAACGGAAGGTTAAGTTTAAATTAGAGGCGCCATAACCATACCGTACCATAACAACTGATTCAACGAACTTAATGTCTCCGATTATTGGCGTTATACCGTAATGCTGTATATACTAATTGAATTTTGGATTTTCTCCATAGCCACAGGCATTTGGTTGCTTTTTTTATGCGTTTTTTTTAAACCAAAATTAATCGCTAAAACTGCTCTTAGTGGCTATAGAACCATTAATCGATTACATTAAGTGTAGCTATGCTGCGACTATGATTGCACACGTAGTTTTATGGTATGACACCTTTAATTTGAGCATCCATCTATCGTACGTAAAATATCAATTTCAAAGTACAACAAACTGTTCGAAATTTTTTTACTGAATTTTTTTTTTATTGAAATTATGAACAGTTAATAAGTGTCAAAATCATATTGATGATAAAATTTGCGGGAACTCACCATCAAGTTTTAACTCAAAAACTATTTTATATAACTATTTTCATTTTACACAAAAAACTTAACAAATTTTGTAAGCTTTTTGGCACTTGGTTTTGGGACTCAGGCTATTCTGGTTAATTCAGTTATATTTCCGTTTAAGTTGTAAAAAGATAAAATTACTATTGCGTGATCTGTTGGGTAGACTTATACATACATATATACAAATTTTCTTTTTAATTTGTTTTTGTTTATTATATAATATATAATTGGGAACCGCAGAAGCGATTTCCGGCCGAACTCCTTCTCCAATTTGTGGTTTTGCATCTTGATGTTCTTCGAACAAAGGGAGGGACCTACAGTTCATGCTAAGCCGCCTCCGAACAGCTCACGGATTTTTATGAGGATTTTTATGAGGATTTTTATTTCATGTCGGAGAGGTTTACATTCTTTGCCGAAGGGCCACCGCAATTAGAAAAAAAAAAAAAAATTATTTTCTATAATTTGAATGTTGGTCGAATCAGGACTCGCACTCTGGCCTACCGAATGGCAGTACGCAATGCTAAAAACGAAAGTTCGTAGTACAACACATTGAACTCAGCGTTCTTACTTCTTGTTTATTCTTTTTTTTTTGCCACAATTACAGTTTCTGCTAATTGTTTTTTTTTTTTTTTGTAATCTGTCGCAGCTAGAATTATTATCAGTGACTTTTTTTGATTAGCAGTGACAGAGGCATACATTGGAAATATGTACACAAATATTTGCCATCTTCATAATGAAGGCACACTCGGACATACATATATGTACATATATATTTATCCAAACTTATGCACATACATAGATGTACATATATGTCTTAATAACCGTATAGATGCTACTTGTGCATACAATTTTTATAAATAAATGAATATAATAAAAAAAAAATTAAGAAATTATTATTTTTTTTTCCAAGAGGCAAGCAATTCTCCTATAAACTTATGCATGTGTATGTGTATGTACGTGTGCAAGCAAGGCAGATGTTTTCATTAATTCTTTTCGCTCTATATGCATATATGCTCATCAAAAATATGCTCTCATATCCACAACTCCTTTCTATGGCGCTCTTTCAAAAAGCTCTTTATCGCGCACACATATTAAAGCTCACAAAGCTTTCTATACAACAGCTAAAAAGTATAAGTAGTTTTTATTTTATTTTTCTGCAATCAGTATGCAGTGCATAAAAAATGTGTGAAAGACGTGAAATTTTGAAGAAATGTTCAAAATTAAATAGAAATTATTAAATTAATATGTGTTATATTGTAATTATGTAAATATAAAAGAGAATTTATTATATCTTAGATATGTGCATTTTGTGAAATGGAAAACAGTAAGCGTATTGTAAAAAGGACGAAGTGAAAAGAAAAAGAAATTGAAAATGAAATTCCAATGACCGAAAGAAATTGTCAACTTGAGACTCTTTGAATTTGTGTAGTGCCACCAACTCATAGCGTTATACTTACATATGTATACACGTATGTACATATGTATGTATGTAGGTGGCAGCACCGCGTTGATTGTCGCACGGTAGCCTAGTGCTCCCCTAGTGCCAAATCATATTGTTGATGCTATTAATTGATTTATTAATACGTCAGTGGAATTAATATAATTAAAAAAAAATAATTTTTTCGAAAATGTGAAAATTTTTTCAACTGTGCATATGTATGTATACATGCAGATATTTATGTATCGGTCGTTTTCAGTGTGTACATACATATTTCTATCTATAATGTATCTAATATATGTATGTACATTCATACATATACATACATACATACATATGTATATCATACGAAATATATCTACAAGTATCAAAAAATTTCCTATAGTGTTATTAATAGAAAATTATTTGTGTTTTAAATTGTGATAGTGCTTAACCAGAACGTATTAAGATATACTGTTATGTACGTACATACATACATATATGCGCGAGTACATAATATATATATATATAAGAAATTAAAAATTTTAATTGAAAGTGTAAAATCCAACATAGTGTAAGAATGAAGAAAAAAATTTAATGCAGAAAATATCAACGCAATGTGTATACAAAATCGGAGACTGTTTAAAAGCAACAACAACAACAACAACAACACCAAATGAAATGAACCAGTGCCTGCTGTTGTTGTTGTTGCTGCGCGATTAGGAGGGTTTGAATGAGAAGGCAGGTGGCAGGCAGCGAGGAAACATCGCTCGACCCACTAGACCCACCCCCGCTCTCTCTACCCAATTACAACGCCTGATTAGTATCTACTATGTAATAATATTACATACTTACGCACTGATAAACGCACAAACAAACAAACATGCACGACATACATAACAGCATTATACTGTACACTGTATATACATACATATGTATGTATGTATGTATGTACCTCGTGCACGGTGTGACATATCAGAGCATGCGTTTATACCGTGCGGTGTTCCCAGAATTGAATTGTTGACCTGTTGTACGTGTATCTTTTTTTTTATTTGATACTAAATAATAGGGGTGGCGTTTATAAGTAATTGCTCTGCATATAAAAGATTGCATGGCTAGTGAAAAGCAAGTAAAAAGAAAAGGAAAAAAAAAATTAATGCAAGAAATTAACTAGAAATAAATTGTGTTGTACAAAAGTGCGTTATGTGCATATAAATGTTATATACATATAATTATATAACTGTATATAAAAAATAAACACATACATGTACATATATACATATATGAAAAAAATATATATATAGAAAAAGTGTGTCTGTGCCAAATCTACAATGAAATATATTCAAATTGCAGTGCAACGACATTAAATTACACTCTATTTACATGTTACTATGTACATAAGTACATACGTGTATGTATAAGTGAATGCACATTTCTTATTTATTTGCAGCTTAAAGTCGCTAAAATAGCTTATGCGTCGACGCCTAAATTGAATAAGTAATAAGTATAAATAAAGAAAAAATAAAAATAAATAAATAAATATACATACATACGTTCATACTATATAGAATTAACCAAGATGGGTAACGTTTGCAGTTCTGGCGATAAAAGAAAAAAAGACAGCATATCAGAGAAATCAGATGAGTGAGTAAATATAAAAATAAATAAAAAAATATATGTGCATATATGAATATATACATAATGAGTATATATAAAATATCTAAGCGCTAGCTTGCAGAAAAGCATGTCTGCATGTTATGCTTCAAATAAATTATGTTTATATTTATTTAAATATTTATTTACTGGTTAGTGGTTGGTAGAAAGTAATATTCTTTTCTTAAAAGATTTAAATTAAAAACACTTTTCTACGAATGAAAATAAATAGAGGCACAATTGTTAAGTGAAGTCTACTTTTCGGCGCTTACCCAATATTTTTTGCACAATAAACAATTAGCATGGAAGCGGTGTACCGTAATATTTTTAAGTAAATACAAAAAAATGTAATATTTTATATTGTTGTCAATTCTTCAGTTTTTATTTAATCGTAAATATGACGGTTTTCGCTATTTAAATTATTCGAGTTCAGTCGGTTTTGTATGCCAAGTTTTAAACACTTCTGAAATGCATTTTTATCACCGGCAAGCAGAAATATTGCTCATGGAATGTTTGTACGAGTGTGTAGCAGCATAATAATTTAGTCAAAATTGATACATATACATATATATGGACTTACAGATTTTCTGAAATTTTCCATAGGTTTCAAATTGAAAGTAAATTTTCGTTATAAGTTAGCGAGCTGAAGAACTATTTGTTTTTTTATGAATTGAATTTTTTTATTTATATACTTGTACGTATATAACGCTTTGTAGCCGCTGACGCGTTTTTCTGCCGAGTTCCTCCTTTAATTGGTGGTTTGTGTCTTGATGTGTTTCCAACAAAAAAAATAGGGACCTAAGCCACCTCCGAACGGCTGATGGTTTTTTATGAGAAGCCTCTATTTCGTGTGAGAAGTACACTCTCTGGATGTTGGTCGTTATTTTCTTTAAAAAGTGTTTCGGAGATCAATACAGCTCCTCATCAGACAGGGATCGTTAACTCATGTGTCACCTATATATTGAGCTTAGTAATGTCTGCAGCCTTTTTCGTGTGGCTCCAGATTGATTTATGTGCAATATTTAGCTCCTGTGTAATCGGAACCGTTCACGCAAGACAATCAGACTCGACGATTACCACTATTTTATCGACATTTTCGTCAAGTGACCTTACACACCATAGAGCAACTTTTACATCAAAATTACTAGAACGAATTGGTGAAAACGAAATTGTACATGATAAATTGTTGCTGTATCAGGATCATAAACTTTATTCACATTTCCAGCTGTCACACTGTTGCTTTTACGCCTTTATCGAAGAAACATTTTAGAATATGGCGTATTTTCCCTTTGCAGGTTCACGTCTTTAACATGCGCTAGAATACTACTTAGTTAAGTGATAAATTCTTCTTCCATTATATTTTTAGTACAAAATATCACCTTCTATCTAACGTCATCTACCGTAACCTAATCGTACTTATAGAACACGAGATACAGATCACTAAAGAAATTCATGCAAATATTGGATGAGTGCATAAGTTCGTGCCCGATTCCGCTGGATGCCGTTCGAATCGTTTGAGAGTGGCTCTCGTGAAAGAAATATATCCATATTATATATCGTTGGAAAGGTGACAGTCCGAACTGTAAATCAAGCATAAAATAACTTCATTTTGATTTGAGTTGCTTAGTGAAAAGACGCATGGAAGATGGACAACGAAAAAGATCATATGCGTCATATTATGTTATACGAATTCCGCAAAGGAAAAACAGTAGGCGCTGCAACTAAAGATATTCGCGAAGTTTATTTGGACCGTGCTCCAGCACTCCACACAGTAAAGAAATGGTTCGCGAAATTTCGTTCTGGAGATTTTAACCTCGAAGATCAACCTCGCAGTGGACGGCCTTCTGAGCTTGATGACGATGTTCTAAGGACTTTAGTTGCGAATAACTCACGTATTTCGACGGAAGAGGTTGCCAGTGAATTGAACGTCAACAAATCAACTGCGTTTCGTCGTTTAAAAAAGGTTGGGTACACTTTGAAGCTCGATACATGGGTGCCACATCAGTTGAGTGAAAAAAACAAAGTGGACCGTATGTCAACAGCAATTTCTTTGCTTCGACGGATCAAAAACGAACCTTTTTTGGATCGGCTCGTGACTGGTGATGAAAAATGGATCCTGTACAACAATGTTCAACGCAAAAGAACATGGAAACAGGCACACGAAGGGGCGGAACCGATGTCGAAAGGTGGATTGCATCCGATGAAGGTACTGCTGTGCATTTGGTGGGATATCCGAGGCGTGATCTATTTTGAGCTCTTGCCAGCTGGAGAAACGATCACTGCCAACAAGTATTGTCAGCAATTGGTCGAATTGAAGAAAGCAATTGATGAAAAACGTCCGATTTTGGCCAATCGCAAAGGAGTTCTTTTCCATCATGACAACGCCAGGCCACATGTTGCAAAACCGACCCTGGCCAAACTGAAGGAGATGAATTGGGAAATCATGCCGCATCCCCCATATTCACCCGACATTGCACCTTCTGATTATCATTTGTTTCGATCGCTGCAGAACAATTTGAATAGAAAAAAATTTAAAAATGTGGAAGACGTCAAAAACCACCTTGACACTTTTTCCAACGAGAAACCGCGCGATTTCTATGAATCAGGCATCCGTAAATTGGTTGAAAGTTGGGAGTGGATTGCCGAATATGATGGCGAAGACATAATTGATTAATAAAAGCACTTTCTTCAAAAAATTTCAATTTTAGTTTGCACTTGAAATCGGGCACGAACTTATGCACTCATCCATTATAATGGATGACTTATTACTTGACCTAATACAATATCAAAAATATTTGCTTCATTCAATTCAATTTGATGTTCGTATGCAGTCAAACTTTCAGGTTTTATAAAATGGCATACGCCTGGTTGCAGTGGGCTCTTAGTCTACATATAATATTTATTCACATAGGTACTGCCTTTGGCAATTCTTTTTTGCTTATATCAATCCGAATGGATGAACATGAAGATTGATATTTAGAACATTCATACACATTTTAAAAAATATATGTATTTATTATTGGGGAAGCTATCTAGTTTTAGTTTACCTTTTTCCAATTGGTAAAACCTGTGTTGTACAAAAATGTTAATAATACGCAGTGGCGTACCATATTTTTAACAAAATCGCAAAAGTATCAACATTTTCGCATATAAAGGCGATTTTTTTAAGAGCTATAGGAAAGTTTTTCCAAAAAAAAATACATCAAATTCAGAAAAATGTATGAAATGTTTATTAGAATCGATAGTACGGTCCATATAATTTAATTTAATTTAATTTGATGATTGTTTCATGCAAATTTTTACCGTGACTGCGCCTCAAATAGTCCATCCGCTTAGACATCTCGGTCTGTATCTCACAAATAAATGCTTCAATGTTATTCTCCAATGCGTCAATTAAAGGGGGCTTCTCTGTAGAGAAAAAAGATTTAATATAGCCCCACAAAAAATAGTCTAAAGGCGTTAAATCGCACGATCGCGGCCAATTAACCGGTCCCGTACGTGAAATCAAATGTTCACCGAACTCGTCTCTCAATAAGTCCATTGAAACCACATAACATGCAAGTCAAGCTCTTGCATTTTGGGCAAAAAAAAGAGTTTGATATCATCTTACCGTAGCGCTTATCATTCACAGTTACATTACGTTTTGCATCATCTTTGAAAATGTACGGTGGAATGATGCCACCAGCCCATAAACCAAACCAAACTGTGACTTTTTCTGGATACATTGGCAGCTCTTGCAATGCTTCTGGCTGATCTTCACTCCAAAATCCAAAATCGGCAATTCTACTTATTTACGCGCCCAATAATTCAATAATTTGCAAGCGTCGCTCGTTTGTAGGACAATTCATGGTTAAATTACAAAACTCGAAACGTGCGTTAGTTGTTTAAACCAGTGTTGCCAAAAAGATAATAGCTAAAAAATCACCCTTTGCTATGCGTTACTCTAATTTGGTAGCCACTTTAAATTAGAGTAACGCACAAAACAAGATTTCAGTTTCTATTTTAAAAAATGTCCTGCATACACAGCCATGGATAGAGATTTAGGCCACATTTTTGCCATCATAACAATTTTTTATTCAAGCAAAGGCAATTTTTTTAATAAATATTATTGATTAATTTAATTATATGTTAAAATAAAATATCTTTAAAAATGTGATTTATGAAAATAAAAATCGAATATATTTTAATTGTACTGTCATGATTACACATGGATAAGTGCGAGTGAGAACTAAGCTCGTAGGACGTAACGGTCTTTACTCGATACCATTTGAGACATCTTGCGCTGCCCAAACGTCAAACGCAAACCATCCAACTGAATGGATGGGAAGACGCATACAGATCCGTTATTTGATCTGGACCAAATTTCCTTTCACAAGTCTCCGGCTAAATAAAAATTGGTATTGGATTTTGCTCACGTTATTTCCGTTTTTATAGTGTATAAAAATTCAATTGAAATACAAAAATTGAGAATATATCGAAGTAAAGAAATTTGCGCATATACATATTTTTCTCTCCAGCAAAACAATTATTCAAACACGCCCCGTCTTTAGCTCTCCTATAATTGATTTTTTAGATATTTAGGTATTTTGTGCTTCTTCCTGACTAGAAATATCAAGTGAAACCAAGTCGCTCTCTACCTGATCCTTCCAACATAGTGAAGATCTTCCTCCTTCTTTGCTCCTCTCCGCCGCGGGTATGTCATTGAATACTCTTAAGGCTGGAATATTCGTATCCATTCGAACGACATGGCTTAGTCAGTTTAGACGCTGTCGCCAATAGTGATTCTGTGTTGAATTTCTGGTTGTTGGTACTAATGCTGGTTCTAAAATAGCCAACATTGTCGTGGCACCCTAGTCGCAATGCGATGACTGTTTGTTTGGTAATTGGAGATATTTCGGCTTATCCTCAGTCAGTTTGGGGAAAGCACAACTATGCTATCAACACCATTGGCATATACTAGTAGTTGTACCCTCACACGATAAGAAGTCACCTTGTCTGAAACCTCTTTTGGCATCGAATGGCTTCGAGAGGAGCTTCCCCAAAACTTACGGGGCTTTTGGTGTTGCTTCATAACTTTAAATATGGCGGCGTGGAGGGTGAATGTCTGCTCTATGGTGAATTTAATAGTTCTAAAGACAAACTGACATAATTAACTGAGCTTACTGTAATGTGAAAATTCATGGCGTTATTTTATTCTCGTCTGTTGTAGAATATATGGCAAGAAACTCGACTACGTTTGATTTATCCCTCCATCAGATTAATAGGAATAAATTTTGAAATCTCTTCTGTGGCTCCCCAACTAAAAATACTTTTTGATGTGGTGTAGTGATATCCTGACAGGCGCAGACTCTTTTTTGCGTTCTTTATTTAGAACGTTTTCAGCGAACTTTTCGCCGTGTTTAACGCGACTCTCTCAATTTTTTCCCGGAGAATTGTTGTTTAACTTTAATAAAATTTTTTGTAATTTATTTTCATCGCATCGCGCAACGCAAGTCGGCTACCGTTCTATGAGGGCGCTAAAACGATGCTCAAGGCAATTAAACGGAGTGAAAGGCACCTAAAAGAGCACTGGTCTTATTATTTCAAGAAATCCTGGCATTAAAAGGAAACTTAGAATTTTAGATATCAATTCTTTTTTTACTGTTACTGCACTCTCACCCTTTTTTTTATGCTATAAAATTATAATTTAAATTATCCTTAAAGCAATTTCGTTCTTACACTCTCTGTATGCTTGTAAAATAATATTTATTCGATTGTGTGTATGTATGTGCAGCATTAATTAAGGGTAAAAATAGCATTGCCAATAAACAAATAACAATTTGACATCATTTTATAGTTCCTCGCCGTATCAAGAAGCCAATAAAAAGGAAATTCAATTAACATCGGTTGGGAATAATAGTGAGAAACTTGCTCCTTTGGCCGATCCAGAGCCTGTGCCGCCAGATGTGTCGTTCGCTATTAAAGGCGCAAACAATGAAGCTCAACAAACACCCAACGAAGCCAATAAAGACGCTACAAAAGGAAATCAATGTATGGAGAAAGGTATGTACGCGTATGTAACTATGTAAATTCACATGTGTATCAATATATAATTTTTATTTTTTTATAAAGATTTCTTTTCAAATATGTCATCCTTTTAAATGCCTCCTAAAATTTTTCTGGTGGTCAAAAGCATTGTTTAGTTTTTCGTTTAGTTTACAACTCTTCCTCCTCCTAGCCTAGCTTTGAATTCCTTACTTAAATACTAGTTTAGAACCACATTTAAAACTAGTTTCTTCTCCTCCTTTATTGGTATAAGCTCTGCTTATGTGATAATACCCGCCCGTAGTTTCCTCTTCTTGCGACGCGCACCATTTGGAGGCACCAAGTTGAGCCGGACCTGGCGTGGAGGTCTTTCTCCACGAGTGTGTATTGCATCGATTACTTTCAGAGCTGAAGTCATTTCGTCCATACTCGCAGAACTATAAATCTTCCTAAAAACCTTTCTTTCGATGACTTTTGACTCATAGAAGGAGTATCGCCTTGAAAGCTTGCATGCGAAAGTCGAAAACTCCAACAATATAGTTACAATTATGGTCGGAATATTGTAGCAGAATCGACTACAATCTTCCAAGACTCGACCCGGTAATACACGCCATTAGTATCCGCACGACATTAATCATTTCATTACATACTCATTAAACCACACTCATCTCACATACTTCTCGCTCTGTCTCGAACCCGGTGAAACAGCTCGTTGCTAGAGGCCTCTCGTTGGCTAGCCTCGACGAGAGCGTCAACTTGCGGTATAAAAACAAGTCCATTTCGTGCTGTCGAATGCTGCTTTAAAATCGATTAAAGGGTGGTGTGTATCGATTATTTTCTTACATGCTTTTTCGAAGGCTTATCACATAGTGAATATTTGGCTAGGGGTTGGATTTGTCAGGTCTAGGGCTACACATATGTATGTATACGAGTTATAAGGTACCATCAGTTCGGTGACGGCGCGCTGTAATACACAATATGGTAGATAAGGCCTTATATGCGATATTGAGGAAGCTTATTCATCATAATAATAATTGCCGAAGACTGTGTGGTCCATCTATTTGTGGATAGTGCAGAACAAGTTTTCCAATCAGCGGGTATACTTTCGGCAAATCGTATTCTAAAGAAAGCTTATGCATGCACGTTGTTGGTTCTTCGCCGTCACATTACAATAATTTACCCGGAAAGCCCGCCGCTTTGTTATTTTTAAGGGAGCAATCACTTTACGAAATTCGTCAAAATCGAATTTGGAGCATCTTTTCCAACATCATTGTTTGGGGATACGGTTCACGGCCATTCAGTAAACTGAAGGTGGGATACATACTTAAACGCAGTATGCGCTGGAAACCGGTGGGTGGCACACGTATACGCAGTAAGCGTTGGAAACCCGTCAACAGATTAACCCTTTGATTAATTTGTAAGCATAATTTGAAAGTTTAAATAGTGAGACGCCGAATTTTTAATAGAACTTTCCATTAACCCGTACGGATAGCTCTTTACATTCTTACATCTCGGCCTGTTCCATATATCTACAAATGCGTCTTGATTCAGTCTTCAGTTCTTGCTCTCGGTATTTATTCAACCAAGCACTTCCTTTGTCGATGGAAACATTGCGAGAGAGTCAATTTGTTTTCTCCCCGCTGCAGTTCGACAAACCTCACGGTTCATCTCTACTTCCGATAATGTCGAAATAGCTCTTTGAAATATATGTATATATTTACTATAAAATTCGAGTGCACTAATAGTATTACAACATCACTTTTTTTTCTACAGATTCCGAAACAACTACACCACAAACTTTGAATGCACCTTGCGATATTCCGAATCAAAAAACTGCACCCAACAATTTAGCTATACTTCAAGGCAAACCTCCGCCTGGACGGAAAATCGAAAGGGATAAAAAGATTGTGATTTATATTTTAGCGAATAATAGTCCTGAATATAAGAAGCACAAGCGCGTTGTGCATAGTCTCTTCAAGCAGTTTGTGAGTAAATGTCAAAGTAAGGGTTTCGATTTCTTAATCTCCGATGTGCATGAGAATGATATAGGGGCTAAGAAAGACTTTGGTAAATTACAAGAAGTTAAGCGCTGGACGCAAAGCCCACAAGAAGCACAGGGTGGTCATGAAGAGGCCGCAAATTGTCTATCAGAAATATCTAGACATAATTCCACCGCATACATTATACCAGTACTGTTTCTCGGTTCATCACTTGGTACACCAATGCTACCCTTAACTATTGAAAGTCAAGATTTCACTTCCGTTCTGAGTGTGGCAAGTGAAGAGGAGCGTGTTCTCTTGGAGAAATGGTACACCATTGACAACTCATATCAACCAATGTGTCATCGTTTGTATACGCAGCAAATCGATACGTATTCAACAGAAGTTAACGATGAATTGAACCACTTACTGGAAGTGTTACTACGTCTATTTTCCGATGATTTAAAAGACTCGTATTTAACAACTGTAGTTGAACAAGAGATTAATAATACCGTACTTATAAGTCAAGAGCACGCTAAGCGTTGCATCTGGATACAAACTGGTGCACAATACACAAAATTACCAGAAAATGCCTCGCAATTGGATGCCGAAGTTTTGAGACGTATCACCAAGGTGTATACCGAATTGAAGACACATCTGTCGGAGAAAAATCTCATTCGAATTTTACCCACTATGAATATATTGGATGAAGAGTTGACGGCAGTTATCGAAAATTTGCTGGATAAATCGATAACTTCCATATTTGAGGAACATCAAAATAAAAATAGTATTCCTTATAATACGAATGGCGTAGATAAAGTACTCCTGGAAGAGGCACATCTTATTGCACACTACTCTAAGATATTGGCACAAAATTCAGCTAATTTCGACATTATGAATGATGTGAAAAGGTATGGCGATTATATAATATTAAACATATTTTCTAGTCCTGCTTGCTTATAATTTTTGGTAACACCCTACAGATATATAAAAGATAATACGCAATGGCCGTTGATTATATCCGGAGCAAATGGCTGTGGGAAAAGTGTTCTAGCCTCTAAAATAATGGAAAACGTTCATAGATGGAAGCCAGATGCTCATTTAATATTAAGGTAAGAATTTATATTTTTTTTTTCCCGTTATTATTATTGTTGGGAATCTAAAATTTCGTTAGCATTGTGTACTAATATTCGGATGGCGAGGGTTTGCGTCCATGTCCGGCCAACATCCAAAAAATATAGAAAAAATTATCTAATCTAAATGTGGTCGCTCCTCGACAGGAAATATCAAGTTCTCCGGATGTAGTTCTGACATGATATAAAAAACCGCCATATAAAAATCCAGCTGCAGTTCGGAGACGGCTTAGTGCAAACTGTAGGTCCTTCCGCTTATTGGCAACCCATCAAGACGCATACCATAAAATGGAGGTGAAGCTTGGTCGAATACGCTTCACAAAGCCACAATTATGTAATTTAGAGACAGCTGCAACTCCTAGAAACTCTTTTATAATCCGTATAGTTTTGTATAGGTCATCTATTTAGATGTGCATAAAGCCCAACTGCAGAGTGATTTTTCAGCATCTTCCTTTTGGACTCCCTAGGTAAAAAGTTTGCTGTTGAAGGCAAAAGAGAGACCAGCCATGCTTACAGCCTACACAGGCGACATTTCAGTTATAGTAAACAGTAGCTGTTGAATAACCCTAACACTTGGAACAATAAAAAATCGACTTAATTCAGTAGAACTTAAGCTTAACGCTGATGAAACAGATCTTCTTCTAATAAAAAAAACCCACTTGGAATAAATCAAACCTGGGAAAAGCCCTCTTTGCAACCGAAACTTAGCGTTAAGTACTTAAGAATTGTGCTAGACAGCAAGTTGTTGTGGAAAGAGTTAAGAAGACATCAGCTGCCCCATGTTGCTTGCCGCTCCGTCTTTTTTTCGGTCCTCTCGCGCTAAATTTTGCAATTCGAACTACGAACTGGAACTGAAGAATTACGTTATCGGAATCCAACCATCACCCAAAACAGACGAAGAGTCTGAACTGCCTCGCGAGGCTCCAGTAAAACCTTTTGTACCTATCCAGACTCGACCACGCACAACAACATCACCACTTGTTTCACAAAATTCTATGCAAAACCTATAAACGCAAAAGTTTTTACTTGCGGAAAAGAGGCCAGACCACAGCCTGCTTGTAGAATATAAGTATTCTTAAAGTGCTCGGTGTTCAACAGACAAATTTGTAAAGAAAACATTGATGTTCTTTAAACTAATAGTACTAATTTGGTCATATATTGTATAATGTATTTGGAGCTATGGAACTATGGTCGGTGTATCGACTTCAACTCTTCAACCTAACAAATCTCAGTTGTAAAGCTACTATTGAATACCACTGATTTCCTAAGGTGTACAACTTTGCTTCCGCCGTTTTCCGATAGGTGGCTGTATCGGCTGAGGCTGGTTGAAATACATAGATGATAATGCCTTTAAAATGAGTGTGGACAGTGCTTAACGAATTGGCATCGCCGTTTCAGTGACAGTTGTTCTTGTTTTCGTATTATTTACGCTAGAAAATGTCCGTTTATGTGCCTCATTCTCGCCATTTGCGGGAAGTTTTACTTTTCTGTTACAATTCCAAAAAAAAAAAAATGCAGCTGAAGCGCATCGAATGCTCTCAGAAACTTACGGTGAAAGAACGTGTCGGGGGTGGTTTCAACGTTTTAAAAATGGTGATTTCGATGTCGAAGACAAACTAGGTTATGATTTGTATTTAATGAGATCAGCTCGATGAGTAAATCACAACGAGCTCTTAAAACCGGGTGAAACCATCACAGGAGATCGCTACCGGCCACAATATTAAGAGCGACATGACAAAGTCATCCTTCAACACGACAATGCTCGGCCTCACGTCGCAAAAGTGGTCAAAAAGTAACTGGAAATGATGAAATGGGAAGTCTTGCCCTATCCGCCGTATTCCCCAGATGTCGCCCCTTCTGACTTCCACCTATTCCGTTCGATGGCGCACGGCCTGGCAGATCAAAATTTTCAATCCTTCGAAGAATTGGAAAAATGGATTGCTTCATGGATAGCGTCAAAAGAGGATTCCTTTTTTCGAGTCGGGATCCGAAAATTGCCGAAAAGATGGGAGAAAGTTGTCGCTAGCGAAGGACAATACTTTGAATAATACATCTGTAAGCACTTTTTCGCAATAAAGCTTTTAATTTTGGAAAAAAAACGGCGGAAGCAAAGTTATACACCTGATAACTTCCTCAAAGTCGGGGGAATGCAAGTGTTTTTGACATTATCGAAGCATTTTTTTGGAATAAATGAAAAGTGATCCATTCACAAATATGATCCCTGAGCGTTAAACACTTGAGCATATTACTCACTTGACAGGAATATGACTCGATATCCTTCCTTTTAATTTTATTTTTTGAATGAATTTTCTGGAATCAATTTCAGTTCTCGCTGTGAACTCTCTTTTACGTCTTCTATCGACTGAAAATGGGTATCTAAAATTTGAATTTTGAGAAAAGCAAAAAGTTTGTCGAAGTCATATCAGGGGAATAGAAGGACTATTTTAAGATTTTTGTTGAATTTTTGGTCAAAAATTTATGCGCAATTATAGTTCTTGAGGGAGTGAAAAATTAAAGAGTTTTTTTCTACACGTACATTAGACCCTTCTCGACGAATTTTCTCTCCCAATCGCGGCGTAATGCTCACAAAATATTCTATTATATTTATCGCCTGGTATTGACTCAACTGAAAAAGTCATTCCGCCGTTTGATGACTGGTTGGCATATCAAACTCGAAAATCAATATCTCATCACCAGTAAAAATACTTTTGATGAATGTGCGTTTAAAGCTTGTCTTTAGCGTTCTCTATGCGTTTAAGTTTTTGAAGAAACTTCAGATTCTTCGAAAATAATTGAAAGATAATGCTTTTGATCGATTCCTGGCAGAAATTTTGTCGGCTATATCTTTCTCCAGCTCTCTTATCTATTGAGAAAATCGATCATTAGCGAAGTGAGCAAACTGAAGCGACACAAAAATGCTTTTAAACGAACTTCTTAAATGATCGATTTTCGGCACTGTTCGGACAGAATACACAGCACATTTTGTAGAGAAATTATTTTAGTTCAAATAAAATAAAAAATGGCTTTCTTATTATACTCTTTTCCAGATATGCGAATTTGACAGTTCGATCTTCCGATTTAACATCTCTATTGGGCTCCATAACAGATCAATTATCAGTTTTGGTAAATGGCAGTCAGTGTAATTGTGAGCATGTACGTTCAAAACACACTAACAGTATATTTAGTAAAGATCACCATTTGAATATACAATACCATTTTGCATGTTTTCTTACAGACAATAGAAGGTTATTCGAATACACTGAAAGAGTTGCTGGAAAAGAAAGACTTCTTCGTTGTCTTAATTATCGACTCTCTGGACGAAATCGTACGGGAAGAAGGTTTAAATTGGCTGCCATTGCAATTGAATGGCACCACCAAAGTCATACTGACCGTTACCGAAATGGAGAATATAGAGGAATCGTTGACATTGTCCAATTTATGCGAACTCGGTATACCGAATAAGTGTTTCATGAAAATGAAACAATTTACTGAAAGACAATGGAACGATATATTGAGCTCGGGTGGTAGTGAATTCTACGCGTCTAACGGTGCACTCAAATTACCCGAAGAATGGAAACTGTTGCGTGGCAAAACACCACTGCATGCCAAATCTTTATGGTGGCTAGCATGGTTATCACACATGTCCATTAGTATAACAGATATATCGGATGTCTTAGATAAGATGTTGCAAATTTTAGAGACGAAATTTCAAACGGAACATGTTGAACTAATGTTACTCATTGTCGCCGTCTCCGAGTGGGGTATACGCGAGAGTGATTGTTTGGGTGTTTTCCAAAAGCAAACGCAATTAGAAGCGCAGGTCGCTTTTAAGATTTGGTCGAAATTTTGCTGGTTAATGGGACCAATGTTATTATTTCTAAAAAATATACGTATAGCCGATAAAAGTTTTCGAAATGCTATTTTCAAGAGATACACACACAAAAGGTGGCTGGTACACAAAACAATACGCGACTACTTTGATCGTCAACAGAGCATACTGCCAAATGGTACCGGGAATGGTCATATAACAAAGTAAGTGCCAGCAAGAGAGCTAGCAAAACTGCTGTATTTTGATTTTACAGATTTGAAATTAATATTGATTAAAATTTTTCTACTCTCTACTTGCAGTTATAATTATCAAAAGTACTTAAAACTGCCTTATCATCATTTTTGTGCCATAGTTGAGGATAATGCCACAGCTGATAAAATTGAAATGCTCTTCAACTGTTTCTATTTCACGGATCTGCAGTGGATTGCCGATAAAGTTCACTCGAATGGTCCAGCGTATTTAATGCATGATCTATTAGTTTCGGAAAAACTTGCACAAACCACCGAACAGTCATGGATTCATATTACATTTTTGAAAGAGTTTTTGAAAAATTATATGCGTGAACTCAACTACGATGGCCATCAATTCTTCACTCTAATCAAATATTATCTCAAAGTACGCATAAGAGATGATCTAACATTGAAGGATGATGAAAAAATACGTTCGTGGTTGGAATTCACAAATGAAATAGAAATACCATTTATGGAGATATTAAATTCGAATTTGGCCCCTGATGAGGGCGACGCAACTAGTAGTAGTTATGATGTTTTGGTCAATTTACCGCAAAAGGGTTATTATGTAGCATCGATAAGTACCGAACGGGAGGAGATATGCATATGGGACGTACAAAATTGTACGCGTGTACGTCAGTTGTTGGGAATACCACAGCCGACTTCGATGTGTCCAGTCGGTACTTATGAGGCGGCCGTATTGTGTCGTCGGGAGATTAAAGTGATTAATCTGGATGAGGGAAAATATAAGGTAAATATATTCAACTCTTCAGTTTTCTTTACAAAATAGCGGTAACAAAACAAGAAGCGCATACAAATCGCTTGTAGGACGGTAAAGAGCCAAATATAGGTGTGTATGAGTAGTCACATATGAGGTAGCGTTTTTAGGCTCGGTTGTAGGGGTGTGATTGGTCTCATTATAAACGTAACATGTCCGGTGACTCATAAACGAGATTTCATTGTTATTAGACAATTACTCCACGAGCTATTGCCAACCAAACAACATAATCGGGAGTGAAAAGTGAAGTATGGAAGAAAAAGAATGCCGTCGTGTCGTTATAAAGTTCCTCTTGTCCGAGAAAAATCCTGTTGTAGGTTGGAGTATTCGGAACAACCATTTTTAAAATACTGCACGTACATCTTGGCATAACTAAGATTAGCGCAAGATGGGTGTCGATAATGCTCACGCCTCCGCAAAAACAATAGCTGCGTTACGTTGGCTGCCTATTCTATCAACGTAATCACCATTGAGAGCCAAATATTCATTCTAAAGCCGTTCTACAATATCACTTTTGTAGAACCATCATTTTTTGCCTCAAAATAGGTCTTAGTTTCGAGCAAAATTTCTTACTGGTGAGCACTTTTTTAAGGTCTGCGAATAGCCAGTAACAGTTGAAAGCCAAATTTGTCTAATAGAATGCAAGTGGGACCATTTCGAAGTTCATTTCATCAACTTTTTCATTGTGGCACTTGGGTGGTTCTAATGAAATAAACCTGTTTTGGGAATTTAGCTTTGTAAAAGGTTCTCCAGTTCCTATCCACTCAGATGGCGACCGTTTTGATCTGACCATGAAGTGATGAATTCATATTTCATCCAGTTTCATATATCGAAGCGATAGCTGTTCAATAGAGGTTTCTCTTAGTCAAAATTTAACAGCAGCTAACTCACGTCACTGCACTTTAGCCAGCAGTTATTGCATTTATAAAAGATTTATCCTCCCATGCTTAGCTCTGCTGCTTGTATTTTTTCTCCAGCATTAAAATAAAGATGTCAATTTGCTTGAAACTTCGTTTAATATTGTACGGTTCGGAGACGTCTTACCAGATCTTAAGGAAGCTTTTGGTATTACTTAGCGTGAACTATTTATAAGTTTGTTAAATTCAGGCGTCGTAAAGCCTGAAGCCTTGAACTCTAAACATAAGTTGCTAATCACCTCTTCGAGCTCCAAATACAATAGTATGCGCTGGTCTGGAAACCATCTATAAGTAGCATTACTACAGTCAGCCGACCTCAAGCGCTTCACCCTCACATATTCCGTTATATCGCTTTTTCTTTCTGCAAATGTTTCTGGCTTCCCTCCTCCACCTCCGCAACTCTAGATATGTGTACAACACAACGCGTAATAAAGTTGATCCAAGCATTGCGAAAACGGCAGTCTTTCTTCTCTCTCACTATGGCATGACAATGCTCATCGTATCAATCCTTCCTTGGGACTTGCCGAAAATCAATAGTTTCATGTGCAGTTATACGTAAGAAACTTCAAATGTTATCTCACAATATTCTAATACATAAGGAGTAGCCGATGAGTACTCTCAGAGAGAGCATGAGTGTATTTCGAGTTGAAAGCACTTGCTTGTTTGTTGTGTATGCAGCTTTTCAAGGTCTAACCTCTAGAACACTGGAGACATGTCGATCACAGCATGATTGGTTAGGGTGTGAGTTTTTCGAACAGGCGACAGCCAAGTAGCTAGGTAAAATTTTTTGTACTACAAACAACCATATTTCAGCTCTTGGCGAGGTCGATCAGCTTTAAACCTTTTGGCGACGTTTCGTCATAGAACGACTGCATTTTTCGACTGTTTGCCGAACTGCCCATCCGACTTCTACTACTTTTTCTGTATATGTTCACGAGATAGCTATTTGCATATTACAATTATCTCTATAAATTTAATGTATTTCAGATTACTTTAAAAGGTGTTATGAATCAGAAAATGCCATATTTCGGTTTGCACGATCAAAACCATGTCGTCTGTTTGTCGCGCAATCGCATGTATGTGCATCTCATGAATTTGGAGTCAGGAGACTGCGTTATGACCTTCAAAGCCGGTGAGGATCGTTTTCTCAACTCACTTTTAGTTTCCGGCGATGGACGGTAAGAAGGAAAACTCGTGATTTCCTTAATTCTGATTTAACAGTATTTCACTTTAAATTTAATTTTTTCCCCTTATTCTCAATAGTATACTCGTTTGCGGCGATGAAACACAAAAACCCTTCCCACTTTTGGTTTGGCATTTGTCGCAAAAGAAATTACTCTACGACTTGCGCATTCCACATCATGATTTCATAACCTCGCTATCGGCTATAACCTATGAGGGTTCATATGTTTGTGTGGTGGCTAAGGAACTAAATGAGCCCACACCCAATTTTATTGTTGTATATGATTTACAAAGCGGCACATTGTTCAAGAAGTGGAAGCCCGCCTGTAATACGGTCTCGTTGGCGATATCTCAATCGAATGCTTGCGTCATAGCTGGTTTAGAAGATGCAAAAATTTTGATATGGGACTTAATAACGGGAAATTGTAGATCAACATTGATTGGCCATAATGCACCGGTGACATTTTTAAAATTAGATCCATTGGGAAAAGTATTGCTGTCGCGAGACAAAGATGGACGGGATAACTCGATACGTGTGTGGGAACTGAATACAGGTAAATAAAATGAGAAAAGAACTTTTTAGTATGGTCATTTATAAAAAAAAAAAATCGTGACCCCGTGAACAGAAATTTTAAAGTTGAACAAATTTTGGATTCTTTCGCTGTGAAACTATAATAGCTGAAAGAGAATGTGAAAAAAGCTTTATGTCCCTTTAGCGAAGGCACTATGTGTGACAGTCCACACAAGTCTGAAAAATTTTGGAGTCCCATTCATCTAGGAATGAACTGAAATATTTATTTTTTTATTATTCTCGCTTTCCGACTTTAGACCTAGTAGTCTCTACATAACCAAAAGAACATTCATTTGATGATATTGTTGTTGTAACCGCAAAGTATTCATCGAATTGATTTTGCGAGAGCGCGCGAGTAACAGTATTTGGTCGGATGAAATTCCGGGTAGTTCCGGCATAAAGACACGACAATCCCGGGAACTATTGGAATATACATGCCTTACCGCCGGTAAATTCTTGGACCCCTAACCCGCAGGGCCGAAAAACATTCATTTGAAAACGGATGGTACCAACGGTTAGTACGATTCACCACATAAAATATGTTCCAATGAAAAAAAGAAAAATAATAAAAAGGCTTGGATGGAACATCGCACTTTTGAGGACGACCACGGCACACCTTTTAAGAACTACGATTTGAGAGAATTGGATTTGAGAGCATACAATTGAAATGTCCGGTTCTTAGATTGGGATGTTGTCGCTGCTCTGTTGGTGATTTCTTTGCGAAAGTTAAGGATGACTTCATAACAATCCAAGAAAAATTAAAGCTGACTTCATTGCAATCCAAGAAGTGCTATGGAAGGGTCACTGATGAAACGAGTTCGTCCTTAAAGCATATACTGCCGCGTCTATTGCAATGCGCAGAGTCACAGACAAAAGAAGAGAAAGCCGTAAGCAAGAAGAGCTTAAGCAATTGGCCATCATAACAAATTATCGAAAATACAACATACGAATTAAAAACCTTAGCATATCGAGGTAATATGGTGACCGATTTCCAGATCTTGTTTATTTTATGAAGACCAGAATGCTTTAGACTGCTAAATGCAATCAACAGTATCTTTCTCCACTAGATGACGAATGATAAAACGTCCCGACCCTCAAGACGCCAATAATAATATCTCGTTTAAAAAGTGACTAATATGGCATATTGAAATATGACGGTGGGAAGCATGCACGACGATTTGAACCTAAGTGTGCTCTGTCCCATCCATAAGAGGTAAGACCGCTTAGTCGTGGAAGCCTATCGCCAACGAACAGATTGAGCCTTATCAGATAGGCTTCAGACCTGATAAATCTTCCTCCGAAACGAAGTTTATCAATCTGTCATACAGTCAGCGCACTCAATTCCTGGCTCTCACGTCGCTGTTGAAAGTTCCAAACATAGAAGTTGTACATCATTTTGTAGAATTTCTCTGGCTAACATATGATATTTTGAATTGAGTTAGCAAGTAAAGTCATCATATCTCAAGGAAGAAAGACCAAAGACCAAGTCGCTTATCATTGTCGTCCTGTCATATAGTATATATATATATATTAGGAAATATCGAAGGAAAGGTCTTTGTCCGAAATATCAGCAGAAATGTCAGCAAACACACTCGAAATATTCTCTTACAAGCTGTCAATCTTCTCGGGCTTATCTGCGAAGACAATATAGCCTCATAACCTCACAAAAAATAGGTCAGCGGTATTACATCGTATTAACTTAGAGGCCATGCCATAGACTTAAGCTAAGAAAAAGTAATTAAAAGTAATTTAATTTTTTAAGAAATAAAAGTCAATAATTCCCTCCGCCCATGGATAATAGCACCAAATAGTGACGACTAGTGAAACAACAACAGCGTCTTCGGTGCGTACTGTACTGCATTTCTGAGCATGCCCCTTATCCGATAGAGTAAACACGGTCCAAGACCGATCCATCGTTGCTCGCATTACCAACTCTGCTAGGCGACGCAATGAACCATTATTTTGTTAATAAATTTGCACGATTTGCAAACGTTATTCCCGACAAGCCAAACTGAGTATTAGTCAAGTGACAGTTGTCAAAAAGCCCTACGCCGAAAAAATGCTTGTCTCACTGAAAATCAGTGGAAAATCACAGTTATGTATGACATGTTTATAATAATAAAATTTTTCTTTTTTCTTTTCCTTCATTTTTTTTAGGTAAATCACTTGCCGTTTACAAGCCGCCTGGCCAAATAACAGCCTGTGAGATATTACCCAACGGTGCATTTGTAGTTGTAGCTTTGAGGAACAGAACTGAATTATTGACATTGGCTTTAAAAAATTATGGAGAAGCTCCAGATGATAATTGTTATTTATATGGCAATCAGGATAACCAAAATAAAACTTTTAATCTTAATTAAATGATTAATTAATTATGATAATTAATAATATAACACACTCAAGTTGACTAATTTAAGTATTTTTTTTTTCTTTAAATAAATTATGTGTCTTCTTAGGTATTTTTTAAGTATTTAAGAATTTACTAAGAAATATTCGTAAGCACTTAAGCTTGTACAAAATACAAAACATAGTTACACCTTTTTAATTGTTAAGTGAAGAACAAAAGAAGACATTTGCCTTGTACAAGCATTATGTACTCGTACAAGCATTTTCGTATTTTCGATTTTTCGAATTGTATATGTAAAAATGAAAAACGTTACTTGTAGAAGAGTCAATATGTGTGTATGTGTGTGTTTTCTTTTGCAGTGCACTTTTATAAGTGTTTTCAATTAAGCTCTTTACAAATGCTCTCTCTCCACCCCTCCCCCCCCTTCCACCTACGCTCAATATTGGGAATTCTCACGTTTTCATAAATAAAAATAAAACACATATTATTTAAACTCAATGCAAGACAATTCATGTATTTAGTTTTTATTTTATTTAGAAGAGAAAATATTAAAATTCAATTAAGCACAAATACATATATGTTATACATATAGAAATGCAGTTATTTTCTATTTAATTATTATTTAATTTATAAGTTAAAATAAATTAACATTAATGTGTTTTCATTATATGTACATATGTGTGTATACGTAAAGGCAAATTGAGGTTATGTCCAACTAGTCATACAAATCTTAAGATCAAATTCACAAAATACCAGGACACCAGTAATGCTTATGTTTATACATACATACACCTGAACATTGACTGTGTTCGAGCCTACCGGCATCTGGAGTCTGGGGATTATTTTTAGCCACTTTAATCGTTTTTATGCGTTAAAAACTCGCAGACTAAAGACAACGCTTGAATGCGGCTTTTCTCATTTTAGGTTATGAAATTAAATTAAAAAATAAGTAATAATAATAATAATATCCATCTATGTATGTACTATATGTATGTGTAATTTTACGACTCTAAAGTACCATCGTCATTTTTAAGTTTTCTGATAATAGTTTTAATTAAGAAATCACTATATATAGGTTAATAAGGTCAATAAATAAATTAAATAAATCGGAGCTACTCTCAAATTAAAATATCGTAATAAAAGCTCTTTTTTTATTTTAACAATATCCACGGTTAGCACGCGCGTTTGCTGTTTTGGCATTATTAAAAAGATTGATTTTTAAAATACAACAACAAAAATGAGTGCACCAGCTGATGCAGTGTCCAGCTTTGTAGAAACCATAAAGTAAGCTAACGGTTGTTAAAATTATTTATGCAACTCTGTGCTTAAACAGGAATATATCCACGAATTAAAACTGAAATTTGGAGCGGAATCGATCAGTTAGCGAGTGAATCGGAATTTATTTTTCAATTGCTTACACCTCTCAAAGTAGCGTCAGTTGATTGATAGTCCACTTGAAAACGCTCTCTTGATCAAGAAAAACCTGCCATTAGAAGTCGCACATCATTCCCATCCAACTATATGGTAAATGGCGAAGTCAGCGATAACATTTAATCAGTCGGCGCTAATCTTTGAAGCAAAGAGTTTTGCAAACTATTTATGGACCAAATGGCAGAGTATGCCCACTCCAAATCATGGTTTGCAATCAAAATCAAATTTATAGATTAAAATGTTTATTCGTGGTCGTCTTCCGTCAGAGAAAATCAAAGTGTTCGGGAGAATTTCTTACATTAAATAAAAACCTCTTCAAAAAAAACCAACGGCCGTTCACAGTTGGCTTGCGTTAAAGAACACATTTTCACTGAATTTTTTAGCAATTTTTGTTCACTTTTGTTGTTTTTGTTGAGCCTGACATATATCTGTTGGACCTTTGTTGTGCCAGAAACATATAAATATATTCAAGAAACGAAAACACCATAAATATAATGAAAATTACACACCAATTTGAATTAATTTCCGGCGGTTGTGATGCCTATTGAAGATGGTTGACTAGGATACTAAATATTTAGCGAAGACACAATTCAATATAACATAGCAGCCTACGTAAGCGCATCACTCCCTTGTTTATGTTACAGAACGCTAACGTTCGTATAAAAAATAACGTATTGATTTACGTTCTTTGGCCAACAGAGGGTTCATTCATACCATAAATAGTAGTAGATAAATTTTAAAATAAATTCAAATTTTAATAAATTTTGATGAAAAGTTATTTTGTCGTTTTCATACATTATATATTCTTAAGCCCACATTTTTTATTACTTCTTCATAGGTAATTTAATTTTGTATTAACATTGATGCACTTAGTACTTTTTCACAATCGTATAGGAAAAATGTATATTGCCAACTATTGTGAATTGAGTGAAAGTAGAATCGATTTTCGAGACTGTCACAATTATTGCGGACTCGTTTTGTAAAGATTTAATTTTCGTATACATAGTCATTGTGGCGTGAAAAGAGAAAAATAATAAAAGTGCAATTGGAAATTTATAGAAATATTGTGCTATTGGTTAGAAACAGAAACGCTAATGTTTTTCAACGTGTATTTAAGAGAAAAGTGTATTACGATTAGTATACTGAGTATAAAGGGCATCCAATAATAATTAGCCCTTATATATATACATACATACAAAAATACTTTGTGCAGTACCACAATCAATCGAGCCCTAATCAAAATTTCGGGGATAAACAATTTAAAAGAAAAAAATTAGATGCAATGGCGATCAGTGCAAAAAGGCTATCTCCTGTTTGATATGTAAATTAAACCTAATTTACATTTGTAACGGGGTAAAACAAAAGCAAACAGTGTAGGTTGCGGAGGGTGTTAGTGGTGTTAGTTGTTCGATTAGAACATAGAAATGTTCTCTTCTCAACATGCCTGTAGCAGCAACTGCGACGATGATGGTTACGATTTCACTAAAAGTGAAAATGCAGGGCGCTGGAAGGGTTTATTTATACCGTCCCTGAGAAAGGTTGGTTAACATTTATTAAACGATATAATAATAAAAATTTTTGTATTGTATACGACCAATTATTAAAAACAAAATATGTGCACTATATATTATCATCCAAACAGGTGTTGGAACAAGTGCACCCACGCTTATCAGCCAAAGAAGATGCACTTCTGTTTGTGGAAACACTATGTTTGCGCATTTTAGCAATGTTATGCGCTAAGCCACTGCCCCACACAGTACAGGTAAATATAATACATAAATACGTAAATTAATACATATATATAATTATGAGAATATATACATAGTTCTACTTACTAATGAAAATTTACTCACTTTTTAGGACGTGGAAGAAAAAGCGAAGAAATCATTTCCATATCCAATAGATCAATGGGCATTAAATGAAGCCAGAGAGACAGTTGCTTCCAAGAAAAAGAAATGTGTGCTACCAACTGATAGAGTACATAGCATGCTGCAAAAGGTAAATATTTTATTTTAAGAAAATCAGTGTAAAACGAAATATTCTTAAGTATGCACTTTTCCTTCGAGATTATGTGCATAATAGAGCTTGAATCTTAAATCTTTGAATTTTATGGAAGAAATCTTTATTCTTCTTAACTAGTAACAATTTATATTACAACATATTCGGAATATAATATTTACAAAGTTATATATACATATATATGTATAAATATATGTGTTTGTTTTATTCAACAGGATGTGCTTCAGTATAAAATTGACAGCAATGTTTCTGTATTCCTCGTTGCAATATTGGAGTATATATCGGCAGATATACTAAACTTGGCCGGTAATTATGTACGTAAAATCAAACATTTGGAAATAACAAAGGAAGACATTGAAGTAGCGATGTGTGCTGATAAGGTGTTAACTGACATGTTTTCCCAAAATGAAATGAAATCAAGCACCTTAGCAATTACACTACCAACACTTCCAGCGCAACGCGCTAGTACAACGTATGAGGAAGTTGTAAAGGATCTCATTAATGATGAAAAACAATACCAACGTGATTTGCATATGATAATACGGGTTTTCCGCGAAGAGCTAGCTAAGATTGTGCGCGATCCCAAAGAATTGGAGCCGATATTTTCCAATATAATGGATATTTATGAAGTAACCGTTACTTTACTCGGTTCATTGGAAGATGTTATAGAGATGTCTCAAGAACAGGCTACACCCTGTGTTGGCAGTTGTTTTGAAGAACTAGCTGAAGGCGAAGAACTACATGTTTATTCAAAATATGCTAACGAAGTTACATCACCCAAATCCAAAGAAGCACTTCAAACTCTCTTAGCCAGAACAGATGTAAGTTTAAATATTTTACTCGTATAATAAATAAGAATAAAAAATTTAAAAATTTCTTTAACTTAGGCAAAATCACTAATGTCAGCTGGCCATGGATTTCGTGATGCTGTTAAGTATTATCTTCCTAAATTACTTTTAGTACCAGTATCGCATGCATTTGTGTACTTCGATTACATAAACGTACTGAGAGAGCTAAGTCGTTCAGAGGATGATATTGAGAGCTTCAAACAAGTACAAGGCTTGTTATGTCCTTTACAAAGTGAACTGGAAAGCATATTAGGCAGTCTACCTAAGTAAGTACAATTAGTGGCTTATAAATGGGTGCCTCAAAAATTAGCGCAAGATTTTAATTAACTGGAAAATAAAGATTTTTGTCTTCTGATTCTGATTTTTTTTTTTTCATAAGAATCATAAAACTCATGCAAGTTTTACCTTAGTTTTGATACATTCTTTATTTGGTTATACATATGTACATATATGTATGTGTGCAAAAAACTTAAAAAAAACCACCTGGTGATGTTGTTGTTGTAGTAACCGCACAAATATTCGCCAAATAGGTTTTTGGGAAATATTGCGGGAGCGAAAGTCCTCCGGTAAAAGCATCCGACTTATAATATATTTGTATATATTTTTAATGATATTATATGAATTCACTCCACCCACATTCGATTCTAACTAACTTTCTCTCAATTAAACAAACTATTTATTAATTCTTGGAAAAATTGTATATTTCCAGAGAAACTCATGTGCCATTGAGTAGTCGTGCTCGTCGCCAATTAGCTATTGAACGTACGAGGGAGCTACAAACTTCTGTTGAACATTGGGATAAGGATGTTGGACAAAATTGCAATGAATTTATTAGAGGTTTTATTTATAAATCTTTTACAAATTTATATTCTATTTCAAGTTTTTTCATTTTGCAGATGATTTTCTTGGAAAATTGGGTTCCGGAAAGCGCGTTGCTGAACGTAAAGTGTATTTATTCGATGGACTTATGGTACTCTGTAAAGCGAATACAAAACGCCAAGTGACCTCAAATGGCCAACCATGTTTTGACTATCGTGTTAAGGAAAAATTTTTTATGCGACGTGTAGAAATCAATGATCGCGCTGATACGGATGAGTTAAAGCATTCATTTGAAATAGCGCCTCGCGAGCAACCACCAGTTATACTCATTGCACGGAATGCTCAACATAAAAACGATTGGATGGCTGATCTAATAATGGTCAATACAAAATCCATGTTAGATCGTATACTTGATAGTATATTATTGGATATTGAAAAGAAACATCCTTTACGGATGCCGAGTCCGGATTTATACAAATTTGCTGAGCCGGACAGTCCTGAGAATATCGTATTGGAGGAGCGTGAAAGTGCCGGTGTGCCACAAATAAAGGTACTAAAGGAAATTATAATTTCTAAATTTCAAATTTTTAGTTTTGATTTCTTAAAATTTTTCCTAGGGCGCCACGCTGTACAAATTAATCGAAAGATTAACCTATCACATTTATGCCGATCCGATGTTTGTGCGCACATTCCTAACAACATATCGCTATTTCTGCACACCACGTAATTTGTTAACATTGTTGATTGAGAGATTTAATATACCCGATCCCAGTTTGGTGTATCAGGATAATGCACAAGGTGTTGATAAGGATGCATTGAATTGTGATACTGATAAATTGCATAAAAATTCTCAACGCGAAGACTGGAAACGTTATCGTAAAGAATATGTTCAGCCGGTGCAGTTTCGTGTATTGAATGTGTTGCGTCATTGGGTGGATCATCACTTTTATGACTTTGAGAAGGATCCTACTTTGCTAGAGGAGTTGGAAAAATTTTTGGGCATGGTAAATGGCAAGTCCATGCGCAAATGGGTGGATTCCGTTTTGAAAATCGTTCAACGAAAGGTAAGTTTTTTCTTTGAATACCAACATTTTTTCCATATTTTGAAAAATTTTCAATTTTCTAACCGTTTAATAACTTCACAGAACGATCAAGAACAAAGCCACAAACCAATTACTTTTGCTTATGGTAACAGTCCGCCACCAATTGAGCATCATCTCAATGTTCCTGAATCAGAAATTACCTTATTAACATTGCATCCTTTGGAATTAGCGCGTCAGTTGACTTTACTTGAATTTGAATTGTACAAAAATGTTAAACCATCGGAGTTAGTCGGCTCGCCATGGACAAAAAAAGACAAAGACGTAAAAAGTCCGAATTTATTGAAAATCATGAAGCATACTACAAATGTGACACGTTGGATTGAGAAATCCATAATAGATGCGGAAAATTTTGAAGAACGTGTTGCCGCTGTGGCGCGTGCCATTGAAGTGATGATGGTGATGCTCGAATTGAATAATTTTAATGGTATACTTTCAATCACAGCTGCTATGGGCAGCGCTTCGGTGTATCGTTTAAAGTTAACATTTCAAGGTTTACCAGCACGCTATGAAAAATTTCTAGAAGAATGCTGGGAGCCAAATGATGGCCGCTTAAAAAAGTATCAGGAACGTTTACGCTCAATAAATCCGCCATGTGTGCCATTTTTCGGACGGTATTTAACAAATATTCTACATTTGGAAGAAGGCAATCCAGATTTTTTGCCAAACACAGAGCTTATAAATTTCTCCAAACGTCGGAAAGTATCCGAAATAATTGGAGAGATATTGCTTTATCAAAATCAACCGTATTGTCTGTCAGTTGATACAAAAATAAGGGTAGGAATGCATTAAAATATTTATATATTATCTATATATATTCACTGAATATTAATTATTTTCTGAAATAGAATTTCCTAGAAAATCTTGACCCCTTTAAAGGTATGATCGACACAGAAATTTCAAATTATTTGTATAACGAAAGTCTACGCATTGAACCTAGAGGTTGCAAGCAGGCGCCAAAATTTGTGAGTAATATAAAAATTTCTGTAATTCTTTATTGTTGTTGTAACGGTATAATTAAACATAAATTTAAATTTTTTCGTCTGGCGTTTAACATTTCCAAATTTATATTTGTATGAATTTATTTTATTTATTATTAGCCGCGCAAATGGGCCTCAATCACGCTGAAATCACCGGGTATTAAACCGCGACGACAAAATAATACTAGCCACAATAACAGTGCTGGTGGCAGTGGCGTGAGTGGCAACTCTTTACTGCAAGCAACATCCATATTTGGTACGCGCAGCACATCTCATGGCAGCAATGTGTCCGAGACAGGCAATTCAGTTTCTAATAGCGGTAGCAATGCTGCGCTGGTAGATCAGCACAGCCCTATTAGTTATAATGCAAATGCGAATACATCGCAATCGCACACAAACTCACAAAACTTGACGACAAGTGTTAATACACTTGAACGTAATGGAGAAGCACAAATGTATGCAACCAATACCATAAGTAGCGGTCATGCTGGTCATGCTGGTACAGAGTCTATGGTTAAGAATGAATTTCAATATTCCAATGGGGAAGATGGGAGCGGTCATACAGCTACATCTACACCTGCACCTGCACCTCAGCTACCAAAAAAGTCAAACTCGTCGATAAGCTCATCGACATCGGCTGGACCGAATGCCTGGAGTGGCGAGAATGTTATATCGGGAGCATGCGCTAGTACACCATCATTTGTTGATACACCACCAACACGTTTAGATTCTATATGGAATACATTTGATGGTACATATATAACGCATCAATCGCCGCACAAACAACAGTTAAGGAATAATAGCAGCAGTAGCAGTAATATGACAATGAGAAATGACTATACTGCAGACGAACCGCCACTACCGTCTCCATTACTAAGAGTGGTTAGTCCAGGCACTGAGGAACATAACACTAGTACACGTACACCATTCCAGAATGCACCATCACTTCCTCATAAATTCAGTTCCAATCATTTTAGGTGAGTTGGATTTGAAAAATTTATGAATTTTACATGTAAAGAGTCCTAAAGAAACTTCCATCTGAGTCCAGTACTGTAAACCCATATCTCTTTAGTTCTCCAAATCTATTTTGTGCCCGATTTTTTTTTTTTTTGGTAGCACTTGCATTGCACAGAGCTTTCGACCCAGTTAGCCATGTTACTATTTTACTGTCTTTATAACCGAAGGACTAGGTAGAGATTCGAGGAGCAACATTCAATCTATCCCTTGCACCAACCTCCACCTACCTACCTGGTTATCTGGTTATCTTCGAGTCATCGGTAGAGATTCGAGCTCAAATATGGAAATTTAGATGTCCTTAACCATACGAGTCTTTATACCGTATCGAACTGGATTTTTATCTAACAAAGGGCTCTTGCTCTAGTAATATCCAAAGCAATCCAATTTTGGGAATATGTTTGCTGTTACAATATCAACAACCGCAACAAATCCCGAACCCGCTGTCCAGCAGAAATACATAAACGTTTTTTTTTGGCAATATACGAGCCAATCCACCGGCCACACACATCTGGAGTCTGATAAGTATTGATGCGCAGATTGAGAAACGAATGACTTATCATAGGCTAATGATCAGGAAAGCAGTGCCTCTTAAAAACGCTTGTACCTCATCTATATGGCGAGACACTTATAATCCCCTTTAAGAAGCAAAACCACATGCTTTGCAAACAACCTCTGCTCACTTAGCATAAGTGATCGTAAATGCTTATTTAGTTTATCAGCGGGTTACGTGGGCAATGTTACGCTTCTTCAGAACCAGTGTTGAACTTGAGCCCCTAGTCGTTTTTCTTTAAATATATATTTTTAAATTATATATGAGAAGCTATAGTCGTAATTTGTACTGCACTCAGTTGGGGATTTTCTAAATTAAAAAACTAAACCCACTCCTGCTGACTTTTCCGAGTCATTTTACGAGTTTATGCTTATATATAATATAAGAGTGATTAAATATTTCGAGAAAAAATTTAATATGTATGTATGTACATGGGAGTAAGAAAAAATAAATTGAATTCAAAACTCTTTATTTCCCCCAATTTCAGTCCAACTAATAGTGGAGCCTGTGTAAGCTTAGGTTATGTGAGCAATGCAAGTCCTCAATTGCCTGATTTAGATACGGGCAATTCTCCGTTACCTGTTTCACCACACGTGAATGTGCCACCCCCGCTTACCAATGAGTATCGTTCAGTACCGCCGCCATTGCCACCACGGAGAAAGGAGCGCACTGAGAGTTGTGCAGATTTAGCACAGAAGAGGCAAGCACCAGATGCACCAACTGTAAGTTATATCCATATGTACTCCTACATATGTGTACATATGTATATGAAAAATGCTAAGAAGTATTAATTTCAAAAAAATATTCAATTTCTCATTTCATACCAGTTGCCGCCCCGTGATGGTGAGCTTAGCCCACCACCGATTCCTCCCCGACTTCATCATTCCATTGGCACATATCCACGTAGTCAAACAAACGAATTTAATGGCAGAAGTAATTTATTACTACCAAATACAAGCAGTATTATGATTCGACGTAATTTGGCCAGTGAGAAGCGTTCGTCTACCGGTGGTGCCGATAGCGGTGCCGGTGCAGGTGCGTCGATGAATACACCAGCCATGGTGTTGCATTCAGCAATTGAGACTACGACAGCATTGTCGTCATCCTCTTCTTCTACTTTGACAAGGAATCCTCCGCCATGCCCCTCTTATCCCATGCCAACAATTGTTGCAAGCCACCTCAATGCTGGTGCTCCTGTTTCGGTGTCCACTTTGGATGAACAAGCCATATCACCTGCCCTCAGCTCCTCTACAACGACATCGCCAATGACGCCTATGTCACCAAACTCTCCACACATTCCAACTGCCGGAGTTCATACATCTGATTTACATACAACAACAGTTGTTGCACCGTCTTATCAACGATATAAATCGGCAGCAATTTCACAAGGTGCAACAGGTGTATCCAATGCAGTGAATCCTTATGGTGCAGCAGCAATGGCACATTATCAACAACAACAACAACAGCAGCAGCAGCATCAGCACCAGCATGAACAACGCTTTGCGCCACCATTAGTTAGTAGCGCGCTACCAGCGAATTCGTCTCCAAATGATTTACCCATAACCGAAGGCACCCCAAAACTTCCACCAAAACCTAGTCTTAGTGGAAATTTTTGCAACTCCTCAGGTAAACTCCATACATATTGAGTGTAGACATGGCTTAAAAATTACGATATTATTGTACATATTTACCAATATCCAAATTTTTGTATTCACAGATAAAGGTACGATGTTTCCTTACCCAAGTACAAATCAAGATTAATATTTATTGCCTGGCGATGTGATACGGACGAAGATTTTTATCCACTCAGCAAAATACGTTATTATTATTGTAAATATTAAAATGTATTAAATGTAGAAGATAAAAATAAAATATTATAGATTATTGTTAGAAATAAAACTACAAAGAAAACTGTTTTATTTATAAATTAGAAACTAAATTTATTCAGCAGACCAAAGCTTGGAAATCCGCTCTTATTCTCCCAATGCAGTGGCAGATCTTGAAGATGTGAACCACAATCAACGATAGAGTTGAGACTACTCAAGTCTGGATACTGTAGCAGGTTAAACTCCTACTTATCCAGACTAGATCCCAGCATACCCAACGTATGCCCTGCATGTGGAGAGTCTCCGCACGACACTAACCACCTCTTCACATGCCCACTCAAACCAACTCATCTAACTCCCTCTCCCTTTGGTCCAAACCCGTCGAAACAGCTCGTTTCTTGGACCTCCCATTAGATGACCTCGGCGTCCTTAAGCGAGGTTAGCGAACCGCAACAACAACAGAGTTTCGATGTTAAACATTCAATCGATCTCTGTTCGAAATTGTCTGGTTAGGAAATCGGCGAACAGTTGAGTCACAATCATCGGTAGTGGTCGAGCTCCAACATGAAAATTTAGGTGTCGTCTTTCCACTGCTTCCATTACCTTCTAAAGCAGACTATATGATCTCACAAGGGGATCTAGCTTGTCGCTTGTTATCCAATTTTTAATGTAAACGGCCAATTTTCCGGCTTTATCCGTTCCTTCGTTGCTATAATTCCGATACTTGGCCCGAGCAATGCATATAAGGCGGAAGCGCGGAAATACGCCCACAAGTTTTTACCTAAAATGGCAGATCTAACATCAGCCAGTATACAGTCACACCGTCTACACCAAGACGATCCCGGTTATCAGCATTTGTGAAATGAGTGGAAAAAACACTTGAGATCCTTCAACCTCTACTCTGTGGTTTCAGAACTCGTCACCAATATACTTGAATCTGCCTCTACCAATACCTGTCGTGTAAACATAGAGTTGTCCCGATGGATGCTAGAGTGGTTCCGCTTCCAAAACTGGGAAAAATGAGTATGTTGTCGGCTGATATCTCCTTTACTAAGTGGGGAAGACATCTTTGACACACCACCTGTGTTCAGCAGCACAACAATATGGCTTCCGCTAAGTGCACAGCACCGCAGCTGCACTTAACGCCCACATATACCAATCGAACATGCGTGCGAACTGCGTCTGTCGCAAGCATTTGACACCGTAAACGAGGCCATGTTACTATTGGACATTGAAGGGCTTTCATTACAGGCGGGCCTAAAGAAGTGGACCAAGAATTATCTGGGGAAAAACTCAAAACTCCTAAAAATTATAAAAGAGCAAGCGTTTAATTTTTGCATTTCGATTCTCCCTCGATATGATGGCGACAATTAATATTTCATACCAAAATTAAATATCATAAAATTGATATAGGCATGGAGTGTATTTCTGCCATGATGTAAAAGCTATTCGTAGGCGGCTTAGCGAGAACTGTGGGTCGTTCCATTCGTTCGGCCCACCGGAAATTGGCCCGGCCGAAATTCGCTTGTGAGGTTAGAAAACGCCGCATATATCGGCCAATTCCAGAGAATTGCCATGCACCATTGAAAGGTTTCACAGCAAAATCATTAAAGTTTCTGATGGGAATGCCACTATAATCCAAAAATACTTGCCTGCACCCATTATAAATGCATTAAAAATAAATAATAATAAATTAATAAACCCATATGTTTGTCCATATACACTAGGTAGTATTTGAAGCCTTTAGTATAATTAAATCTAATCAATTTAATTTACATTTTATAGTATTACAAATTATTAATTACAAATTACAACCCAAACTTTCTATTTCATCGAGGAAATACTTCATATCCTCTTGCGTCAAACTTGAATTTTGCAAAACTAATCTGAAAAAGTTCGGTATTTGCCGCAATGGCTGGTAGGTAATCATCATCGAACCCTTCTTTATCATGCCCTCCTTGATCTTTGGTGCAATGGCATTCAGTTTTTCATTGAACAAATCACCACGTTCCATATTCCGCAGAGATGGTGGTATATACCAAAAGCTAACATTTGTACATTCCGGCCTCTCCAAGACCAATTCGAAGCCGGGACGCGCTCTTATCAACTCGGTGATATACTCTGACATTTCGAAGGCACGATTTACATGCTCCTCAAGACCATTTGTGCCCTTGGCCTTCCACATAAACCAGAATTTATAGACATCCGCACGACGGCCGCATTGTATATGCTTGTCACCGGTGTCGTATGATGTATCGTAGAATTTATCCTTTTGGAATAGATATGTTGCATTTGTGGAATGACAGCTGCTTAGGATGTCCTTGTGTCGGGTTAAAAATGTTGAGCACTGTTGTGAAGCAGTCAAAAGCTTATGGGGATTCCATGTTACAGAGTCGGCGCTGAGTGGTGATAATGAAACGAAAAATGTACAAACATATATATGTATGTAAAATTTTAAAATCTACTACATAAAGGGTGGTTTTTTAGACAAGTGTTTTTCAAAAAGAAATAAAAGACATATAATTCAATGTTATGCGCCAGAATTTAGCTTCATTGCGAAGATAAGCTTTGCCATTTGATTTTAAAAATGATTCCCGACAGGTGAACGACGCGACATTCCAACTGAGAGGCCCATTTCTCGACCAATTTTTGCAGCAATAAAGCACCGACTATTATCTTCTAAGGTGTCAATCGCCTAGTGCTTATCTGGGTAGGCAAGTGATTTCACACAAACAAACAAAAAATAGTCCACGGGTGTTAAATGACACGATCTTGGAAGTCACAACACAATTCCACGAAGCGAGATAATGCTGTCACCAAAAGTTTCTTTCAATAAATTAATTGTTTCGTACGCTCTATGGCTTGTAGCGTCGTCTTGTCGGAACCAAAGATCGTCCACATCCACATTCCCTATTTCATGCAAGAAAAAGTCATTAATTACGGCTCTATAGCGTTCTTCACTGACAGCACCATTGTGCCAGGCTACATTTCAGAAGATATATGGACCTATGATTCCCGCTGCCCATGCCTTGTTGTGGTTGTTACGACGTCTCAACAAGGGATTGTGGATTATCATCACTCGAAATGAGACAATTTTGTTTAGTAACCATTTGGTGATTGCCCATTCAACAAAAAATTAACTTCATCGCTGAATAAAATTTTCTTGTAAAAATCTGTATAGGTGGGCATCTCGCTTTGGTTGGATTTTGCAAGCCTGCAAATCAAGATCCTTCCGCAAAATCTGCCATAAAAATGATGGGCACAGCTCCAATTTATTCGCGCGATATTAGGGTCTCATTCGATACTCTGCTCTACAGCAGCGAGAGGGTCTTCGGTGCGCACTGTACTGCGTATCTGAGAATGTGCACTCTCCACTAGGGTGAACACTACGCAAACCCGATTCCTGGAAGCGCGAATTACCAACTCTGCCGGGTGATTATGTTGACCGAATGTTGGACACAGCCTGCGATGCGTCGGGCGGAACGAAGCATTGTTTTGGTATTAAATTTTCACGGTTTGGAAACGTTGTTCCGAAGTAAGTCTATTGATTTTAAAATGGCAAACCAAACTGTGTATAAATTAAGTAACTGCTGTCAAAAGAACAGCACCGAAAAAAATTTTGCTTCATTGAAAACCACTCGCCTAAAAAAAAAACACCCTAAAAAATAAGCATAAAAAGTCTTTAATGGAATTACCGTTCGATTCCCTTTAATAGATGACGATATTTCTTCGATACTAGAGCACCACCACCCCAGGCAGCATCAGCGTGTAACCACATTTCGTATTTCTCACAAATATCCGCTATACTATTCAAATCATCAAATGCACCTAAAACCGTTGTGCCGGCCGTTGCGGACACCATCAGTGGGCGTGCACCGTCATTAATATATTGTTTGACTTTTCTCTCCAGATCTTCGGTATCCATTTTACCCAATTTATTTGTTGCAATTTTGCACACATTATCACTTCCGAAACCCATAAACATTGCCAATTTCTCGACCGAATAGTGGGCATCCTCTGAGGTGAAAATAATTAGCTGCTTTCCGCCGAGTAAACCACGTTTCTGGAAAGGAATTTGAATAAAAAAAAAGGCATAAATACATATCAACAATTTTATTGTGCAAAATAGTATAGTATTATTATTTAATATTATTATTTTTTAAAATTATTTTAAAATTTAATCATTTATGCTTGAGAATATGGAATTCTGCAGGTGGATATTTACTTTAATCCCTAAACTTCTTCTTGAGCTGCAGAGTGCCCGGCTTGTAAGCAAAGGGAAAGGTCAACATATGAGTCTTTTATCGAGACTTCCAGATTATTTTCGCGCTTTTCAGCTGTAGTTTGATTTTATCAAGGAAGTAGTAGCAGCACTGCTTCAGAGGATGGCTTCTGTGCGACAGGCTTACATTTACTCCGATAGCAAATCGTCTATAACTCCCTGGCGCGCTCTCATGTTGTGCAGGTATGTTCGTCATCTATGTTTATGGGGTAGATGGGAGCTGCGATGCTGAAGAGCTTGCAAGAATATGCAAAAAAGCTTCGTTAATGTCGGACAAAACGCAAATAGGCGCTTCTCTGCCGCTGGCAGTGTGCTTCTGGAAACGTAGGTCTTAAACCAACTCAGCGAGCGCGAGGCAGCGCAATTAGGAGATTCTTCTGACCTAAGATGGGCCGTTTAAAATCAGTGAAGTTAATTTCTAACCCAAGCTCAAAACTCTCACACTCACACAGTGAAAGCTCTGACCGGGCAATGTCCGCTGGAAATTCAGGCACTTTCACTGCCGCAGCTTTTTGATAGATGAGATAAAATCATCTATTTACTTTCATATGAACAGTGTTGCGTTTGCAAGGTGGATACTGAAAATTCTCGGATCGCTTATTGTTTACCCTCCTCAATGAGTTAATAGACATTGACATCAGACGAATTTGATAGATAGATTTGTGACATGCACTAAGCGATGCACTACAAGAAAAGTGGTTTAGCGTCCAGGATGCTCTTACTCTTTATGCCATTTCAAAGGATGTGTCTTATGTATCTCTGTGGGATTCCCTTAGAATCAGTCGAATCTACATACCTTATTTAAGCCAGATCAAAAAAGTTTCCAATATTAAGCTCTGTTGCGAATTTTTTCAACAAGAATGTGTTAAGAATTCAATCAATTCCGATGAATGAGAAGCCAAAAGGATTTAATGAAAGATTCAACAAAGGACACTTCAGCACAGCTAGGCGTTTGAAAACAGTTAAACAGTTCTCGTGTTAGTCAGCTTCACTCTCGGTTCTGCTCGGCATACAGTTTTAAATCTTTTTTTCTCTCGCATTCAACACCTTTAAGGTTGGCTAAACTTACAGAATGCATACTACGGCGGCCCTTAGGAGTAACTAGTGTGGATTCAAGCGTAGATTTTTGAATACCCCAGTATTGTTTATTCATGATTGTACTGTGCGAATAGTTTAGGACAACTCAAGTGAAGCGTTTATTCATATCCTTATGGAATTTCAAAATTTCAAAATTTAACGAGTAACTATTTCGTAAAACATTTAAAAAAAAAATAGTATCTACATACATATGTATGGACAAGTATTATTTGATTCTTTCATTAAGGGGCACACCTAGTGTAAAAAAAAATGGATCTTTTTTTCATATTTCGATAGATTACACCTTTAAAAATAACATATTAAAATTTCAAATCGATATCTCATATACTTTTTGAGTTATAGCAATTTAAAGAGCAGCCGCTCGGCAGCTGAGAGTCCCTTTAGCTACGAGTAAAAACGATCATTTTATCTTTAAACGCATTTTCCGAATTTGCTGCAGTGATTACTCAAAAACAAATGATCCGATCACTATCGACTTTTTTTGCATGTTCTATATATAGTTCTCCGTACAATGATCTATCGATTTTTGATCTGATCAAAAAATCGAATTTTGGCAGGGCAAAAACGACCAAATTTTTGGGTAAAATTCGACTATTTTTTTTTTAAAACGCCGCCATATTGTCAATTTTTGATTTTTTTTATATCGTAGCTCATTCTACAGACAATATTATCTAGTAGAGAATTTTTTTTAAATTTCAACCACGGAGAAGGCCGGAATCACTGCAGCAGTGAGGAACCTTTTTTTTCGCGCCGTTGGAGATCGACTATAACTTAAAAAATATTTAATTTTTTTCTTCAAAAATTTCACTGTATATTCTTTAAACATGTATAAATATATTCTTAAAATTTTGAAATAATTGATAAAGTATTTTTTTTTAATAAAAATTCCCAAAAATCACCTTTTTTTAGGCCATTATACTAGGTGTGCCACTTAAGAGATCCTTTAAAAACTGATTCCGTAGTCCGTTAGAGGGATAAAGCATTCCTAATGTTCTTAAAAACTTAATGTTCAGTTCAGACAAAGCCTCTATATATAAAAGCTTTTGTAGTCCTTAAATAATAGAAATAAAAACTACATCTAACCATGATATTTTACCATAACCTAACCTAACTTTCGATATTAAAAAAAAATTGTGACATTTTCTGGATAAAGTTTTTGTTTTTGCACTTTTTAATTAGAGATTTCTTTAAATGACACAAAAAAAAGTAGTTTCTGACATAAAAAGTTTTTTCGACTTTTGCTTTATTTTTGTTGTGCTACCAATCTCATTTTTTTTTCATTTTTAAAATTTATGTATGTCCAAAAATCCAAAACCTTTTAATTCAAACAAAAAAGTAAAGAAAAATAAAACGTACTCACAAATAGCTGAAAGGCTTTGCATTGTATTTCTCTGAAATCTAATGGAAATAAAATTATTTCCAGGCGTCTTTGTACTTTTATATAAAAAAATTATATATGAAATATTTTTAAAGTGGCAATATCTTGATGTTAAAATGAAAATAACATATACAGGCCTATTCTCACTGATTACCGTTAAAGTAAATTTTGTTACTTTTCTATAACACCCGAAATTGAATTTGGTATTCTGGCGAACTGGTTACAGTGTTTAAAAAAAATTTGGCAGCACTGCTTTTTTTGGCCATGTCAAATTACATTTGCCAGTTGATAAAGTAAAAAGAAAAATATTCACATCGAAATGGACGACGGTGCACAAAAAAATTAAAAAGTTTTAGTAATTTCTTTATTAAATCATAAATATTTGAACCTAATTATGGAAAATATGCCTGGACAACAAAAAAAAAACTGAATAAAAACGTTATCTTACAAATAAAAGGGCTATTTTTTAGTCTCCAAAGCCCCTTAAAATACGTCTTTTTGGACTTTTTACTTCATCTTCAATGAATTCCAGGCCTAAAATATGCCTACCCATTTTGGTTTTTTATTTTTTCTCAAACTTACAATACAAAATCTAACAGTAGATATTTTTGTTGCCTCCTGTTTCGCTGGTAACAAAATTTACAGGGTAACAGGGAGCTCAGAATACGAAATGGTAAGAAAATTTACTGAATGGTAAATTTTAATATCTAGGTAAATTTTGTTACCTCGACAGAATAGGCCTGATAATGTCAAAAAATCTTTTTCTGTCAATTTTATATTGGGTTCCTTTCTTTTTTATATTATGGTATATTTTTAAAGTGGTATTTCGAAAAAAGATTTTTGAAAACTTGAATTAAGAGCTACATACATATAATATGTAGACCAATATTTCGATACCGACACATTTTCATTGAAATAAACATCATTTTCTTTTTAGTAAAATATCATATGAAAAACTTTGAAATCCTTAGAAAATAGATATATGTGGAAGCTAATCGGAAGATTTAATTTTTTTTTTAACGTTAACTCAATAAAAAGCATATTTTAAATATTTCAAGCAGACATTTTGGTTTGCGCACTTTGAGAGTACAAAGTTTTTCAAATGTGTATTTAAAAAAACAGAATTTTCAAAATATTGATTTTTGAAATACATATTTTTGAAAATCGCACTTGGTCGTTTCGAGTTTTGTAGTAGAGAACTTTCGTTAAAAAGCCATTTGCGATGTAGTTTTCCCAATTTTTTATTCCTACAAAACGATTTCGAATAATTTTCGAAGTTATGAACAAATCGAAGCGTAATAAAAGCAAATTTATAGAAGCTGAAGTTGTCACATCATATGATTACTTGTTCTTCCTTCCATTTCAAAAAAATGGAAAAACCAAATACATGGGTTTGGCATTTCGAACGTCATATATTGAACGACTTTCGTTTTTGACTTTTCGAAACTATTATTACACAAACTAAATACATATTTTTTGCTTGTTTTTGTATACTTTCTACTACCGTGTGTTAATTTGCTTTGATAAAATCTTTCAAAATTTATTTTCAAATTGTTTTTCGGAACTTTAATGATTTTTACATTTTTCATAAATATATTATGAAATTAAAAAAGAAACTGGAAACTTGCAAATTACAATTAATTAAAATATAATTAACATTAAATGTGAGGGGACGAGTTACTTGTTGTCAAAATGCTTGAACAGCTTGAAAACGCTGTAACAAAATCAGAATAACAGTAATTTGCCTCAATATAAGTAATAAAACCTTCGAAAATGATCACAATCTAATCCAAATATTATTGTCTAATTACGTCAAAGTAATTACCGTCATTACTGTTAAATACGAGAGCCGAAAGCACTTACATACACGTAGATTCGACTTTTAAGAGTTCTTTTAATAACGATCTAACAATTATCTAAGAAAATTACGAGTATATATTACATAGTAAAGATGTATGTATGCATGTATGTGCAAGTATTCAGTTGTTTATGCGCCATTAGCAACATTTACTAAAAAATCATTCATTCAACATTTTGAAATACAAACATACATAACACATACAATTTAGGGGAGAAATAAATATCTGCATACATACATATGTACATATGTATGTACATAAAAGTATGTAATTAAATTGGTTTTCGCTTTTATGAATTAAATTGCATTTTTAATCACCAACAGTATTTTACATCCATATATATATGTGTATATATGTATATATATGTATATGTGTAAACGAAGGTATGTTTTATTTTATTCTCGGAAACATTCTAAAACTAATATACATAAGTGCATATGTATGTATGTTTTCGCAATCCATTGAAAAATTGCTCTTGAACCACACCACTATATATAACTACAGGCATACATACATATGTACAATATGTATATGCATAGTATATAATGGGAATAGCCATGACTTGGCAACACTTGCATTGTGTTTATATAATTAATTGTTTCATTGCACTAACTGCTTGCATATGTATGTATGTATATACTCTTATATGAGTTTAAACTAACAACATACATACATATGTATATAATTAATTTTGCATGTGCATATATGTTTGTATGTATTTAATTTAGCATGCATCAAGGCAGTGCTCAAGACCACAGGATACATTTTCAAACTATATACATATTTACTGGTTTGTTGGAATTTGTGGATTTTAAACACGGTTTTAAGTAATATGTGTTTTTTTTTGGACATTAGTAATGTGTTTAAAAAAAAAAATGAGTATCAAAAAAAAATTTTAAGGCCAGCCACTGTATATTAGTTTTAAAACCTCAGCGTAAATCTACTTTATTTTCTTATTCAATATATGTGAGGTTAGAAGTTATATACATAGGTTTGTCTTAAAATCGTTTCAAATCTAACCCGCTTTAAAAAAAAATTGTTTTAAATTTAATTTTCAAATTTATTTAGGTTAACTTTCTCAGTTCTGCAATATAAACATATAAAAAATATTTGTGCTTCTTAATTTCTATTTTAGACATTTTGACCATTTTCAATTATTTTTTTTTTTGCGTTACAAACATACTACATACATATTTCCAACTCAAACCAATAATATCAGTGCAAAATTTAAACCACTTTAATAAATTCATATATAATTAAAATTTTTTTTAAAGCTTTCCCTTAAAAAAATATTATTTTTCTTATGAAATATCTTAAATTGAAGTTTTCAAAATGTCTTAAATTAAAAATAGAAGACTGTTTTTTCACAATCCCGCTGGCCACAAATTTGAAGAGAGTACTAAAACAATTTTGAATTATTTTTTTCTATATTTTTTATCATATTAATTTTTATTATATTTTTTTATTTATGCTAAAATATTTGAATTCATATATTATAAAAATATATCATTTTACGCAAATATACGATTTCAATCATTATTAAACTTAGAAATGAAACAATAAATTTGTTATATACTTTAGGAAAACAAAGCGCTACCTTTGAACTGAGAGTGGTCTCTATTACATCTTCCGAAAAGAAAAGTTCTTCACATATTAACCTAGGCAGAGAGCTATCTTTGTTCCAAATATCTTTGTTTACATTAGATTAGTTCCTGACCCACTCTCCAGATGAAAGTATGCAGAAAAAAGTGTAATATTTATTTTATCACTGACGAATACGTTATTTTATCAAAATCGATTCAAAAGGTGATTTATCGAGCACAGTTATCGTTACATTATGTTGAGCCATACAAACTTTGCCGCACTTTTTACTGCCTAAGGAGTAGTGTTATTTCAGAAAATCCTATCTAGTCGGTTAGCTATATAGAACAGCCCCCCTACAGGTCTCTACGATTCGCGGTGTAGGCTGTTCGTTAATCAGTCAGTCATAGAGGAGAATTTCAATGAATTCAAAGAATTTTTTATACACACATATCTCTGTATTTATGTATTTATTGTTTATTAAAAAAAGTGTACATATGTACAATTCTAACAGGAAATCTCTGTATAATATTTAAAAACTCATATTACACAAGGAATTATCGAAAAGAAACTTTCTCGAAAACCGTTTCCAGAACCCAAATAAATAGAAGAAAAAAATTGAAATTTGCATGCATGACAAATTAATGTTGCCTTAAGTGAAGCAGTTTTTCTTTAAAATATTTCTCCTTCTTTTCGAATAAGTTTTCGCATTATTAATAAAAAGATGCTTCGTAGCCATAACTTACTCCAAAGCTGATGACAGATAAAACTTTTTGTGTTGCGTGACAATTTCAACATTTTTTAGCAATTAATTGTCTATCTTAAATTAAAAAATTTGTTACATTACATAAATAATTACATTGAATTTGCGTTAAAGTTTTTCTTAAATTTTTGGAATTTGCATAAAAATTAAAATTAGAAATAAATTGGAAATTAAAATCGCTAGCGCTGCTTTTGCAGGAAATTACGTAAGTTACACGTGTTCAGCTTAGAAGTTAAAATCAATTTATCACGCAACGCGGCGAAAAAGTCCTTTCAGCTTAACTCTAATGTTGGGGCAGAAGTTCTATATGCACAGGCCTTTATTTCCTAACTTTATTCTGACCGAATTCGAATTCGTATGAATATTGGAAAATACTGTAGTACGAAAATTAAATATGTGGCGTTTTTGTGTGTATGTACATATGCAAATTATACAATATTTTTACAAAAAATGTTTGCGACTTTACTGCCAACGGAGTATATACACGAAATAAGTATATACCCTAATATGCTTCAACTGAAAGGTCTAGCACAATTTTGGCAAACATAAAATAGTATTTCATTTTATTTCATTTTTTTTTCATTTTTAGCATTAAATACAGCTATTAAGCATTCATGTGGGATGTATGTATGTATATGCACCCCGCAGTATGTAGAGATTCTAGTTGAATTTATGTTAATTTTAATAAAAAAAAATTTTGCGTCTTATTTAAGTCGGAAGCTTCGAATGCTCATCCTGGTCCCAACAAATATCCAAAAATTATAGGAAAGCTATTTAATTAAAAATTAAGTTAAATTTTCTAACGTTCGTCGCTCGGCAGAGAATGTCAAACCCTCCGCATGTATTTATGACATGAAAAAAGTTTCCCATAAAAATCCATCAGCCATTTGGATGCGGCTTAGTAGAAACTGTAGGTCCATCCGTTCTTTAGGATAAACAAATGAATATTAACTTAAAAAATATATAATATATATATTGAGCTATTTAGCACAAATTTGGCTATCTTTCTTGGCAGGATTATTTTTTTTTAATTTTAAATTGGTTGTTCGTTTATATGAATATTAGTTTTATAATCAAAAATGGTTTCTACTTGTTTCAAAATTAATGTTCATTAATAATAATATATAAAAGTTTGATGAAAGTAATTTAGAATAAGATTTATTTGAATTTTCCCGCATCAATTATTCCAACGTCATTAAGGATTACTTTGGCGCTACATGTAAGAGAAAAAATTCTGGCAACACTAAAGGCGAATACATTTTGATTGCCTTTTTAAAATTTAGAAAAATAACACAAGCGATATGAAGGATTTGTATAACACATAAATAAATAAAAAATTTAAATAAATTAAAAAATAAAATTAAAAAAAAAGGATCAACATATCCATTGTAGTGTCTGAAGGATGTGCCTAGTAGTAAATGAGTGGTATAGAGTTCTCTAAAGAATCAAAAATTAAATACTAATTAGATAAATAATTAAACTTTTCACGGGGTGAGCACATATTTCTTAAGAGCTCAAGAATTTGTTGAGAAATTTGCAAAAAGCTCGTTCTTTTGAACAACAAGTACTCGCTTAATTATTCAATGTTCATCACTCGAATATTTACGAATACAAGTACGTGAAATTTAAGCCTGTTTAAAATTGATTTCTTTCGATTTTCTACATGTTTTCCACAATTTCTTACACAACTTGCTGCACTTTCTTAATATCAATTTTATAAATTCCACAAAAAAATTTCAAATTTACCAAGAAAAACGTTGCATCTGAATGTATTTATATTCATATTTATTCCTAGCAACTCTACTCACTTTGGTTTCCGGTGCGTATTTGTAGCGAGCACAACTGATGCCATAACCATTTGCAATTGAACCACCTGGACAGAAAATACCATCGCCATAACCATCGTTTGGATAGCCGACAATGCGACGCATCTCAGCCAACACTGTCTCTTCCATGAGTGTAAAAATGGGCGCCACCTCATATGTATACACACTCGGATTCAATGCATCTGTCAACCACTGACCAATCAAAGCATAAACATCAACACCAGAATAAAGTTGATTAATAAAATACGGATGACCCGTTTTCACCGAATACTGTATGGTGGCTTTTAATAATTCGATTAATTTTGCATTGGTTTCCGGTTCCGCTGACAACTCGAAATCGAACAATTGCTTCAACTCGCACGGTGCATGCCATTCTACCACTTTACTGGCACGATTAGTGCCAGCTAACACAGCCGTTTTTATAATTTCATCAACACAAGTGCGTATGAAATTCTCTAATTTCAAATCAGGATGTCCAGATACGAAATTCGGTGTGGAAATTGTATCGTTCATTTTCGCTTTAATATTATTAATATTTTGGTTATTATTATTATTGTTGGTGGTTGGTGGTATAGAGCCGTTTTGTAGATTTGATTTCATTGCTGTCACTTTAACGTCCGCACAAGTAATATCCAATGTACTCAGACCAATATCCGTTTTGGCTGTAGTGACCGTTGCGGCGCCTGTCAGCTCTTTGTCGACGCTCTTCAAATGCTTTTTAAATATAGACTCACTGTATTGAGTGGGTAAACTTTTGCTGGCCAACATTATTGCGCTTTTATTTTACTGTTTTTACTTTCTATTAAATTTTTTATTTATTTTTATTTGATTTTTGTTTTGTTTTTGGCTTGTAATTTTGTACCCTTCAACTGTGGGTACACGTAAATGTGCTTGTATATTGTTGAATTAAAGACACTCGGCAGTCGAATGTTTGTATACGGTCTATTATGGTATATATACAGTAGTAAATAGTCATATAATTCTCAGTATCCCGTTGTGCTCACTAAATTCCTATTATTGCTTAATTTAGTTTCTTTTCAAAATTTTTTATTTTTCGTTTTCCTTTTTATACACTTATTGCATTTACATGCACATGTAACTACATATATCACAGAGAGAAAATAATTTATTTATGTTTTATAAATTTATTTAATTAGCTATTTCGTTTATAATATTTTTTTGACATGCATTTATAGTATTATTCAACAAATCTGGTTTTTTATATTATTTTTAGTTTTTATGTATGATTTTTTATAATTTTTTTTATTATTATTTTTTGATAAATTTTTATTATTTAAAAAAATTTTTTTTTTGTTAAAAAAATATATTTTTTATATTTACAAAACACTTTGAAATATAACACTAAAGACAACAGCTAAACGCGCTGCACATAGATACTCGTATGCCTGTATGTATGTACAATATTTTTGTAAGCACTATAGTTTACTTAACGTCGATCTTAACAACAATTCGCGTCTTACCAATCTGATTGTCCGTCACATTGTGCTGTGGCTTTTATAAACGCTCGTTCTTGCAAGATTTGTCTGATTGATCTGTGTAAGCCGAACATCGGCAGCGCGCCAAACAACACTTCGTACAATCGTTTTTTTTCATATTCTACCGTTTTGTGTGCTCGCACTGCAGATACATACTCGTACATACATGCATATATGGGAGTACTTATGAGGTGGATAATCAAACGGCGGATTGTAAGAATATATGTACATATGTATGTATGTATGTAAGATCGGTGTAATTACATACTCGTACATACATATATAAATGCATATGAGTATGTGCGTACTTACATAAATATGTATGTACGTATTGTGGTGGGCCACAGGGAATGTTACACCTGCACATTTTGTCGCATGCCATCTGGTAGTGAAGCTGATGCTGATGTGCTTTAGCTTACATATGAACGTACACAAATATATTGATTGCGTTACATTCTTGCCTACATACATATATAAGTATGCTTACATAAATATGTATGTATGCACATATACGTTAATACAGGAATCCCGCTTAGTATAGCTGAGTCACATCACATTTTATGCACTCAGCGGACTTTCCCTATTAATTAGTTCGAAATCTAAAATTTGTTATACTACTTAATAGTTTATACATACGTACATTCACTAGTTTTTATGCATTTATGAGATGCAATAGTAATTATGTGTATATACATATGTACATACAATACATATGCGCTACAAATGAAATTAGTTGTAAATAAAGAATATATGTCCTGTTGGTGTCGTTGTTGTTGTTGTAGTGGTTATTTGACCGCGCTTATGAGCACGCCAAACTAGTCTATGTCATCGAGTTCACCTAACGAGAGATTCAAGAGACGAGCTGTTTCCACGAGCTGTTTCGCAGCAGACGGAAAATGGAGATTGGATGGGTAAACCTGAAGTGGCATGCAAAGAGGTGGTTAATGACGCGCGGGGTCTCATTACATGCATGACATACGTTTGGTATGCATGGGGTCAAGTTGGTATAAATATGAATTAAGTCGACTGCAATGTCCAGATTTTAATTCTGCCAGTGTTACTCGGGTCTTTCGAGACAGCACGATCTCTTCGTCTGCAATAAATGGTGATTGGATTCCGAGAACGCCTAGCACTGGAAGGGAGTTTAAGAAGGTGTTGGCACACTTCGGTGAATGGTGTTTAAAGCCTGTTGGTACGACATCCTGTACAGCGTTTCTTGTATGTGGTGAGCAATTGAGTCTGTGGTGAGCAATCGAGTCTGTGGCTCTGTGGTGTCCCCTTCTTAATGTTCCTTGATAGAGGTTCAAGCTCAAGTAAATGTTTTTTGTGGTGTTTCCGACGGTTGATAAAAAACTAGGAACTTTTTAAAATTATTTAATTTATAGAAATTGTACTCAAACATTGAATTGCAAATTGCTTTTGATCTGATCTGTCGGTTTGAAAATGACAAAGGTATGAGTCGAATATTATGAAAATTCAAAAAGTTTATTTTTTAAAATTCAATACTAACGGAAAAAGCGGTGAAGGTGTTGAAACCGGTGCCAACTTCATATTAGGCTCGGGGTTTTCCATGGTCAATCTCAATTTAAATTAAAAAAAAATTTTTTCGTAATTAAATTTCGCTACAGTAGCACCTCATTTCCGTTTTAACATAAGAGTTTACTATTTGTCCAAAAATTATTTTTATAATAAGCGCTATCGTTCTTTAGTTTTCTTTTTTTTGTAAAGATCGCCACCTGCTTCATTCGGTTCATTCATACCTTGAACCCCACGCCTACAACCTGAAAGTATGCTGCAATATATGACGTATAACGAGGCGTCAGAAAACTTTTTTGTTCATTATTGAATATTTAAATGAAAGAATTCCGATTTATTGATATATTCCGTTTAGGAAAAGGCCAGTAGATACTTCTTCTTCTTCTTCTTCTTCTTCTTTTTCTTCTTCTTCTTCTTCTTCTTCTTTTTCTTCTTCTTCTTCTTCTTCTTTTTTTTCTTCTTCTTCTTCTTCTTCTTCTTCTTCATTGGCATAGACACAACTTACGCGGTGATGGCTGAATCAACAAGAGCGCGCCATGGGTTCCTTCTCTACGATATTTAGCACCACTTGGTAATACCAAGAGAAACCTACCACTACAACTTGATCCTTCCAATATAGTGAAGTTCTTCCTCCTTGTCTGCTTCCATCAGCAGATACTGCATCGAATACTGTCAAAGTTGAAGTACTTTCATTCCTGGTTAACATAGCCGCTATTTTTTTATTCGCTGATTTATGTCAATGTCATCGCATGCTGTTAATACGTAAAGCTCATCCTTCCATAGTTTGCCGGATTCGCCGTTTCCAATGAGCAAATGACTATAATAGATCTTTCGCAAAAACTTTCCATCGAAGACATCCATGCGCCATATAGTAGAACGAGTATAATGAGCGACTTGTAGAGTTTGGTTTTCGTTTGCTTAGAGAGGACTTTACTTTTCAATTACCTACCCAGTCTAAAGTAGCACCTGTTGGCAAGAATGATTCTCCGCTGGATTTCAAGGTTGGCATTATTATTGGTGTTAATGCTGGTGCCGAGATAGACGAAATTGTCCACCTCAAAGTTGTGACTGTCAAAAGTGACTTGGGTACCGAGTTGCGAATGCGATGACTACTTGTTTGATGACAGGAGATATTTCGTCTTGTCCTTGTTCACTACCAAGCACATTCGCCTCGCTGCTTTATGAAGTCTAGAGAAATCGGAACTCACGTCGCGGATGTTAAAGCATATGGTTTTAATATCATCGGCGTACGCCAGCAGCTTTACAATCTTATAGAAGATAAAAGGTTACGATGGATTGAAGTGTCTGCCTCTTGATGATATTTATTTTTAGCCGCTCCCGCACGACGACGACTGATGGATTTTTGTGAAGAGCTTATTTATTTCACATTGGAAATACTGCCGTGGTGCTGAAGCTGTAAATACAATTTTTTTATCTACTTTTTGCATATTACTCTGGCTAGCGTGCAAACCTACGACCCTTCGCATGGTAACATGCTCTGTCAACTACTCCCTTACTGCCGGCAAGTATAAAAGTTTCAAACATTGGCACCAGACTCATTCGCTTTGTTTTCCTGTACGGCCTGGAGAAAGCTAATACAAATTTAAATATATAAAATACATACATACATATGTACATATTTATCAGACATCCTTCGCAAGCCCCTTATTTTACATGCATACATACATACATACATACATACATATGTATAAGTCAGGTAGCGATCTGATGGGTGTGTCAATCAGCTGTGGCCAATTGAGTCAGACGTTTTATATGTACGTGTATATATACATATAAGCTTACAGTCATACTTACATACATATTTACGCATATTTGTAATTAACTAAATATATTTGAGAAATAAAAATTTATTTAATTTTATTTCTTCAGACTGCAATAAATTAAACAAGTTTGCCATCATATGCTGTTATTTGTTGTTGTATGCTGTTACTGTTTTTATTGCAATTTAACGTTATCAAAAATAACTTCAATTAGTTAAAACATACAAACATTTGCGAAAATCCATGTGACAGTGTGAATATCGCATCAAGCGCAGGGAAGCACCGCTCCAAATCACAGCCAAAACTCGTGCTTCATGCGTTTACTGCATTTTACAGATGAACATATGCCTGTATATATAATATATATGTATATACGAGTATGTACGTATTTAAATTAAACAGAAAACGGTGCTAAGCGAAAAAATGTATTGAGCCAAATACGAGTACTGCCAAGCGGGTTTTCCCCATCAGCATTTGTGTTGCTCTACTTCTTTGACCAATGCAAGAGAACTGCGGAAGTTCAAATGAATTTTGTTAATGTTTTTAAATTTTTTCTTCCAATCACAATATTAATTGGGAAACGCTTTAGGCATACACAAATAGGTAGTACAAAAGCGAAAGTAAGAATAGTAAGATACATAAGAATTATATAAATTTATTTTGCTGTGAGTTTGATCGATTGTTGCACACCAGTCGAATGGTCGATATATGAATGTATAAAAGAAGTAAAACAAAATATCCTTCACTCCGCGATACGCTGTATGTATGTACAAAGATATTGGTGATCAAAATGTATACGAGGTGTGTTCCACAAGTGAGATATATATTTTTGTAAATACGAGATGTGTTCAAAAAGTATCGCGAATTTTGAATTTTCTCGGGTTGCGTATAATCGAATTTCGATTTTTTTTGTGGCGTTACGTTGGTACTTAAGTCTGTCACTTATGCCGACAAGCACGGCCATTTTGAAGTGTTGACAGCTGCTTTGCTTGCATGTGTTTTAGATGATCTTCGACTTTTAATTTTTAACGAAAGTTTTGCTGACAGTTTTCTTCGATTGCAGGGGCTTGGTGCATCATGAGTTCTTGCCACAGGGTAAAACGGTCAATATGGAATATTGCCTGCAAGTTATGCGCAATTTGCGCTAAGCAATCCGCCAGAAACGCCCGGATTTGTGGAAAAACAAAAATTGGCTTTTGCACCACGATAACGCATCGTTGCTTGTGCGCGACTTTTTGACCAAAAACAACACACTAATGATGCCGCAGCCACCGTATTCCCCAGATCTGGCCCCCTGTGACTTTTCCTTGTTCCCTAAACTGAAGAGGCCCATGAAAGGACGATGTTACGCTACGATTGACGAGATAAAGACGGCAGCGAAGGAGAAGCTAAACTGGAAAACCCGTTGGCACAAGTGTATAATATCTCATGGGGATTACTTTGAACGGGACAAAATAGATATTCATGAATAAATAAATAATTTTTGAATAAAACACAAAATTCGCGATATTTTTTGAACATATCTCGTATCCAGCTAAATATTTTTTATTCGATTTTTATCCAATTTTTTTCGCAGCGTCTAAAATATTTTCGTCGTCTACAAAAGCCGAGTGCTTAACATTGCGTACCACCATTCGGAATGACTTTCTTTACTAAGTTTTTTCCAACAAATGCCGCCTCCAAACGTCTGATGGATTTATTGTGAGGAGCATTTATTTAATGCACACGGACGGCTTGAAATTCTGTGCCGAGGGGCGATTACAGTTAGAAAAATGAACTTATATTTTCAGTTTTATCAATTTTTATGTAATTTTTGTATGTTGGCCGGTAAACTTCCGAATAGAGTTAGCCCGCAGTCAGGTATGTCTGTCGTAAGAGGCGACTATACCGGAACAACCGGGAATTTTATCCGGCCAAGGACTGTCGCTACCGCAATATTACCCAAAAACTACTTTGGGGTATATTTTTGTGTTACAACAACAACAACAACAATTTAATACACCTCTTCGAGAATAGCTTTAAATTTTAAAGGACTCAGAACCTGCCCATTTTAATTTTATTGCTTTTTATAATTAAGTGGAATTATGAGTGAAAATTCGCCAATTCGTCGCAACCGGAAGTGAAGTGATTTTTGTCCCTTTACACCATACAAGCCCGACCACTGTGCCTCGCTCCTCTTACACTGCTGAGTTGTATTTCAGAACACACTCGGTATGAATGTATGTATGTTTGCGTGTTTATTATAATCTGCGGAAGTAGAACCGAATTAATTGCAGTGATTTCGTATTCAAAAAAAAAAAACGAATGTGTAAGTGAATATGAGCAATTGGTTAACAGAAACATAGAATTTAATTACATTTGTTGTTTTATTAATAAATAATTATAAACCTAACTTGTAGTAATTATATTAAATTATGTTTGCATGTATGTACGAATGTATGTATATTAGTATGTGTTTGACTTCATAATTTACCAAGATTTCGTACTTGCAATCACACACATACATACATGAACTAATTACCAACATTAAACTGTTACAAGGCCATTGAGTAGTTATTATTTAACGTGAAATTGTTGATATGTTTAAATTAAATCACATTAATTATAAATTCTAGCATAGCGTATTAAATAACTGCAAACTCAATTTTGTTTACTAATTTTCCATTTTTTCTTATTGCATTCATTTATGTTTTTTGCAGCATTTAATATCCGAGAAAGTTATGTTTGAATAATGAAATATGTTTTAATCACTTTCCTATGACCGGTTAGTTCGGTCACCTTGCTTTATTATTTCCCCAAGTTCTGCCAACTAGCGACGCACACCAGACCAATTGGTAATTTATTGTTCACCGTTTGAGTGACGCCAATTTTGAGGTTACAACACGAGGTCTGCGCCAAAAATGAGGTGAGTTTTCAAATTTTCCTTACAAAGATCACAAATGGATATATGTATGTATGCATGTGTATACGAGTATATGGTTATGTCCCTGAAAATCGTAATATTCGAGTTGTTAGTAGTGCGTACTACTGTTCGGAAGGCCAGGGTTCGAGTCATGTTCCGACCAGCATCCAAAAGTGTAGAGAATTAATTTTTCTTATTCCCTCGGCGGCGAATATCAAGTCCTACGAATTTCATCAACTCTTCAGAGGCGGCTTAGATTGAACCGTAGGCGTGCACCACAAATGAAAAGAAGAAGAGCTCGACCGACGGTTATTACGACTATTATTATGATGTATGTGGGTCAAGTTACGAACCGTTGAAGCGCTTTTCGACCGACTCCTCCGCCATTTTGTGGTGTGCGTCTTGAAGTTTTCTCCACAAATAGAAAGATCTACAGTTTCATGGGTTTCATGTTGTAGTTATTGTTATATATGATATGAACCGTATGCTAAAGTTTAATAGTGTTTTCGACCTTGTCGAACGAAGTTTTATTTGCCGAATGGAGCAATAATAAAATAAAGCCGGAATAGGTCTTACTAGTTTCAGTATTGGAGAGGCTACAACATTAGAATTTGTTCACGACTTAAATTCGTTATGTACATATAAATTCATTATGTACAAACCCTTATTAGAATTTTGTTCAATGAAACCATCTCTCCTTAAATACAAAGCAATTGAGAAATACGTGCTTTTAAGTTGGATGTTATTTTAATTATATGTATAAATCGCATATATTTAAAACAAAAATTATGCAATTATGTAAAAAATATTATTTTGGCTTTTAAAGCTTACATTTTTAAGTTATTCATGGAATTGTTCAACCCATTATCAATATCCCAAATAACAAGTTGGCCATCAACACCGGATGTGCTTATTTTACGGCCATTTTCCTTCTCACCCGCATACAAGCGAATACAGGTTATGGCGTTCTGATGAATAGAATCGACATTGGTATCGGAATTTTCAGTTCTCAGGTTACGATCCAACGACTGGAATATACGCATAGCGGATATGCCGCTACTCTCTTTCTTTTGTGACTTATCTAACTTGGCACTTAGCACCAATTTAGAGTTTTCAACTATTGTATACACCAATGGCACACAGCTATGGCCAGCCACAACTATGGATACTGGTGATATCCATACGCACGAAAGAAATGGTAAATATTGAGTTTTGCAGCGTATTACTGCATTGCCATTTGTTGCATCAGCTACATTAATACAACTGTCATGTCCAATCCAGCAGATTTTGTTACCATCGGCTGAAAAGTTGACATCATTTATCCAACCACCGCCGGAAGTCATGGAATTCTTAAATTCAGCCATTAGATTACCGAGTGGCATGCGATTTCCCCAAGGCGTTGGGCTTGGCTGATCTTCGATGTCCTTAATGTAAGCTGAAAACACTCGAACCTAAAACATAACCATTTTTATATAAAAAAAAAAAAATTAGGATATTAACTATTGCTTAAGTTATGTAGTTTCTACCTTATAGTCCGTTGAGCCCGCTACGAGCAGTACGTTATTTGGATGCCAGTCCAAAGAAGTGACGGTCGAACGAATAGGTTTCTTGATGTGCTTAGACACCCACCAGTCATTTTCCGACTCAAAATAGCACACCGATATTAGACGTGCTCCAGAACCAACGGCAAACTTATTCTCCGCAGGGGACCATTTCACGCAAGTAGCAGCACGATTGATACGCAATAAAACCAAAGTGGGTTTCCATTTACCATCGTCAGCCTGCGACCAAACATATGCATTTCTATCAGCAGCACAACTTACGATGCGATTCGTATTCTTCGCCCAATCGATACCCATTACACGTAAATCATGTTGATTTAATACATCCGACAGTTTCCAATCATTACGTTCGCGGCTATAGATATGAATTTCATTGTTGTTGGGCGAAAGAGCGATTTCTATTGGAAATTTTTGTAAAAAAAAAAATTTTTAACATAAATGTATGTAGTATGTATGACTAATACCAATTGCAGATACACAAGTACTTACGGGATCGATCTTTGTTCCAAGCATGACAAGTTATTGAAGCCAAAGAGCCTCCAAAGGTGTACCGTTCAGACATTGTTTAAAACAATTTAAATGCGTCGATATTTTAATACTTTTTTGGGTTTAAAAGTGATAATCGCGGACTCTGGGCCGTCTACACGATTAGCTACAATAAAGTTATTTATGACTAATGGTAGTCCAAAAATGCACTTTTCACAAAATTTCCAGAATTTCTTAGCCTCGAAAAGATTAAACCGATTTGACAGTAGCGTAGCGTTGCCACATATGTGAAAAAATGCAAATAATAAGTGGCAGCAATCATTAGGGGTGAACAGCAGTGCAATTCTGTAATTTTTATCGACACGATTTGTCGGATCGCAAAGTTGCGAATTTTGTCGCTTGCGCTAACGATTATGTGATTCTCTAACGCAGTTGTTACGATAATCGACATCGCATATTTCCATTTTATTAAAATGTAGGAAAGGTGGCACCACAGCTCAACGAAACGTCAAAATGTACGAAAA